TATGTGACAGACACAATAGGCTAGATAGAACTAAAGACAAGGAGCCTATATCGTTGCTTGCAACTATATTTGATGCTATGATTGTTCCTATGGTGTGTTATGGTGCAGAGGTATATGGTACCTCATTCTTATTGAACTATTGAAGATGTTCAGTATAAAATGTATAAATGGTTTCTCAAAACAATGGTATGGTTTGGGGAGAATGTGGCACAGCCCCTCTCCAACTTGTCAACACCACAAGGGCTATTAAGTATTGGTGCAGGCTACTGCATTTGGATGAATGCAGACTACCTAATGGATGACTCTGGCTGTACCATATGGGCTACTCATATTAAAAATATTCTGTTTAGACTTGGATTTGAATATGTGTGGTTAACACAAGATGTGGGAAAAGCGAAGATATGTATTCTCCTTTTTAAACCATGATTATTTAACAACTTACAACTATCATGGTGTTGTTCTATCAACAGTTTATCTGATTCCTTCTATTTATATTCCATAATGTGTCCGTTTTCCGATTACATAAAAAAAACTGTAGCTGTATCTGGAGTGGGATGGGTAATGGGGTACATTCAATTTTATTTTTATCATAGTCATGTGATTTTACATATCCAGAAAATAACAAGCATCACGCAGATGTTGTAATGCCATGATCACTGAAGGTCATTACGTCCATTCCATCACCATGATCAACCTCATGCAAAATGGAAGAATAGAAATGGATGTTATTTTGAAATGATATTTGCAAAATGAGTAAAAATAATAAATATATTCCTTATTATTATTATTCCCTTATTGAAAGCACATACATTGTCAAAAATAAATGGTTGAATTAATCAGTTATGTGTTACACATGTATTAGATCTATAAATATTGATTACATGATGTGGTAAACAACAATTTTCTAGTTACTATTACTGGGTGTACAGTTTATTTCCAGCATAAAACAGGAGAAAATGGGACCAAATCATCGAATTATATGTCATCAACTATGTTAAAATAAAGATGCTAACTATATTCAATCAATGTGGTAGTTCAGATCCATGTTTTATGTGTACTATAGGTTAATCATAACATAAACAAATATATATACGACTGCAAAAGTCGAGATTTTTTTTGGTAACAATTATTGTCCAAACAGTGATTCGAACTCCTGTGGTTATAATGCATACTATAATCAATATTTTAACAAAGCGCGACACGCGACAATGCGACAACGCGACATTTTGATGAAATGTTGCGTTGTCGCATTGTCGCGTGTCGCGTTTTAGTGAAATACGTTATAATACATACTATAGTCAATATTTTAACAAAGCGCGACGCGCGACAATGCGACAACGCGACATTTCATCAAAATGTCGCGTTGTCGCATTGTCGCGTCGCGTTTTAGTCAAATACGTTATAATACATACTATACTCAATATTTAAACAAAATGCGACACGCGACACGCGACAATGCGACAACGCGACATTTCATCAAAATTGTCGCGTGTCGCGTTTTAGTCAAATACGTTATAATACATACTATACTCAATATTGTAACAAAGCGCCACACGCGACAATGCGACAACGCGACATTTCACCAAAATGTCGCGTTGTCGCATTGTCGCGTCGCGTTTTAATCAATACGTTATAATACATACTATACTCAATATTTTAACAAAGCGCGACAGGCGACAATGCGACAACGCGACATTTAATCAAAATGTCGCGTTGTCGCATTGTCGCGTGTCGCGTTTTATTAGTTACGGCGGTTTTTATAAACTATCACAAGCATGATTACTTTTCGATGTTTGCAGTGGAGTTGAGCGGAGTGGAGTGAGTGGGTGGGTGGAGAGGGAGCGGGGAGCGGAGTGGAGTGGAGTGGAGTAGAGTGGAGTGGAGTGAGTGACTGAGTGACTGAGTGGAGAGGGAGCGGGGAGTGGAGTGAGTGAGTGGGCGGAGAGGAGCGGAATGAGTGAGTGAGTGACTGAGTGAGCGGAGCGGGGAGGGGAGTGAGTAACTGAGTGACTGGAGCGGAGAGGAGTGGAGTGAGTGAGTGGAGCGGAGTAAAGTTTGTGAGTGAGTGAGTGGAGCGGAGTGAAGTTGAGTGGAGTAAGTGAGCGGAGCGGGGAGGAGCGGAGTCAGTGAGTGAGTGGAGCGGGGAGCGGAGTGGAGTGAGTGAGTGAGTGTATGGAGCGGAGTGGAGTGGAATGAGTGAGTGAGTGGAGTGAAGCGGAGTGGAGTGGAATGAGTGAGTGGAGAGGAGCGAAGTGGTGTGGAGTAGAGCGGAGATGAGTGGAGTGGAGCGGGGTGGAGTGAGTGAGTGGGCGGAGCGGGGAGCGGAGGGAGGGAGCGAGCGAGCGAGGGTTGATTTCTGGCACTCCAAGGGTACGCAACTCTGCCAAGCGATTTGACTGCTTTTAAAATCATAATCATAACATTCCATTTGTATGGCGTTTTCCCAAGAAGAATATCACGTTCAAAATCGACCAAAACTGTATTTGAGGTGCTGGATGGTTAAGTGATATTACCATCTCATTCTACCTGGTATCCATCCACTGCTGGCTGAACAAGTTCATCAGCGTCGGACAGGACTGTACCAAGAATCTCTCTGAGGAGCCACACTGTGGAACATAGTGACCCATTCGTGGACATCACCTGATGTTTATGCCGATGTGGCCTGAATTTTAACAATATTTGAGTTTTTTCACAACCTGTCAGCTTAATATGGGTGAAATGTCCAAAGTGATGAGTGTGTATGGTGCTGGGATTAGAACCTATGATCATAGTTTTCTGGTGTGACTAAGAGACACAACTCTGCACAGCAAATTGCCCCGCCTTGAATGACAGGTCCACCGTGTGCCGTCATTACAATGAATAGTAGCGCTAATAATTTGTCTGGCTGCTAAACACACTTGATTGGCCAAATACGTCTACAATATATAACATAATAAAGCAACAATGAAACATTTCCATTAAGTTCAAGAAAAGCAGCCCCCATTATCATTACGCGTACTACTTCATTGTAAAAACCATTGGAGGTAACAAAAGACAACTGAAGTGTGAAATAGAGTATAACATTTCCTGCGCATGCGTAGACTCATTGACTTTCTACACATGCGCACCGGTAATCGAAAAGGGCGACAACGCGACACGCGACACGCGACAATGCTTCTTTTTACACATCTTAGATAGGGCGACAGCGCGACATATTTTGACCTTGAAAATTGTCGCTATGTTGCGTGTCGCCCTTTAGAGGAATAGAAAAATATTATTCAAAACGCGACACGCGACATCGCAACAATGCGACAAATGGGCGAAATGTCGCGTGTCGCGTTTTGGTTTATCTTGCCTTACTTTACTTGTTTTTGAGAGGGCGACAATGCGACATAGCGACAATGTCCCTTCTCGGATTCCATACAAATCCTTGCTTTCCCTCTTTCAAGTTTTCTGAATTCTGTGTCTTTTGATAAAAAATAAATAATTATCTGATCGATACCTCGTTGTTATGTCAGTTGAAACAATTGATTTGTAAAGAATTCTCCTCACGAGGAAGAAGTCTACTGTGATCACCCCCCAATAGGGATTTCGTACATTGGTCTGAATCTGATCATTGAATGACTCAAATCTTCTGAATAAACCTAATTTTTAAAATACTATCTGTCACTCGGTGCAACATCAAAGTATTACCGGTGTATATGTAAACCTTGTGTTATATATGTTCATACTAACAACATTAAATATGAGGTAATGTGAAGTCGGCTTACCAAACCAGTAAAGAGCATTCACTTCTCATACAGATCATTTGATAAACGAGCTTTGGGTAGCTTGCTTTCAATCATGTATAGTCTTCTGTTACATCATTATTATGACGACGCACATAAACCGATCGGAATTATAGTGGAACACTTTTCTTGTAAGACATATATTCTTTATTATTATAATAAAGACGACACAGGTCGTACGATGGACTAAAACAATTTTAAATGTTTTGCAATAAATGAAATACCATAACTCTCCATTAGTTTCTCTCTCTCTCTCTCTCTCTCTCTCTCTCTCTCTCTCTCTCTCTCTCTCTCTCTCTCTCTCTCTCTCTCTCTCTCTCTCTCTCTCTCTCACACACACACACACACACACAAACACACACACAGGGCTTTGACGCAAACGGAAACGTTCGGGCCACATAAAATGTAAACAATGAATCAGTGGCAATTCAACTGAAATTATAAATCTCAGTGAAACATAGCGAACAATGTTTCATTCAGGGGCAAACATACTGATGAAGTTATTTTCACTTATTCGTTAATTTCATTAATCATAAACATTTGTTTCATGTTGATTGTATAGTTTATCTTGTTTCATTATTGTTTCATTGTTTGTCAAGATCCATGTCATGTTACCATTGTTTCATTGTTTGTCAAGATCCAAGTCATGTTACTGTTGTTTCATTGTTTGTCAAGATCCATGTCATGTTACCATTGTTTCATTGTTTGTCAAGATCCATGCCATGTTACTATTGTTTGTCAAGATCCATCCATTGTTTGTCAAGATCCATGTCATGTTACCATTGTTTCATTGTTTGTCAAGATCCATGTCATGTTACCATTGTTTCATTGTTTGTCAAGATCCATGTCATGTTACTATTGTTTCATTGTTTGTCAAGATCCATGTCATGTTACTATTGTTTCATTGTTTGTCAAGATCCATGCCATGTTACTATTGTTTCATTGTTTGTCAAGATCCATGCCATGTTACTATTGTTTCATTGTTTGTCAAGATCCATGCCATGTTACTATTGTTTCATTGTTTGTCAAGATCCATGTCATGGTACTATTGTTTCATTGTTTGTCAAGATCCATGTCATGGTACTATTGTTTCATTGTTTGTCAAGATCCATGTCATGTTACTATTGTTTCATTGTTTGTCAAGATCCATGCCATGTTACTATGTGTGGCGAGTATGGAACATTAGCTTAAGCTAATATGTCCCATATGAATTGTTTGCTATCTCGTCGACAGACATCATAGCAGTGGTGAAAGCCAACGCCTACGGTCATGGCAGCGTGGAGATATCCAGGTATCTGGAGTCCCGGGGGGTCGGGCACTTCGCCGTCGCCACCCCAGAGGAAGGCGCTCAGCTTAGGCAGGCAGGGATACAGGGGCACATACTGATTTTAAGTATGCATTATTCGACGTACCTTAACCGAAGCTGAAGTCACATTGTAATGTGGTGATCATGTCGTCTCATTTACAAAGATAATTTTCGCTTCTCATATGGGGCTCATTTTGCATTAATACTCCAATCTGGATATATTTCCCAAATCAGTATACCGAGGTTAACGGGATTTTTTTGTCCAAGGCAACGCTGTCGAGGAAGAAATCCCAGCGCTGGTGAAGTATAGACTGACACCGGTGGTGGCCGAACTAATATTCCTCCAGAAATGGTCTCGCGCAATCACAACGTCCAGCCACACGAGGAACACAAGCCAGGTGGGGACATTCCGAATCTTTTGTTCAACATTCCATTTAATCAACTCGGATGGTGTGCATCTCTTACTTGGACGTTTCGAATTTTGTTGTTCTTGTTTAAGACTAGAGAGAGACACCAGGTGGTGCTGAAGATTGACACGGGGATGTCCAGGAACGGGTGTCAGACTCACGACTTCCCCTGCGTTATTGAAGTAGGTATGATGTTATTAAGGGCGCCGACACTGTCACCAAATGAGTGCTCTGTGAGAAAATCTATTTGGGCTTTGAACTGGATTCTTAGGCTTCACAGGATCCGTATGATCACCAACTGCTTTTCACAAATACAAAGATTAACTAATGACAACAATCAACTAAAACACAGAACCTATAGGACAGATTTCATCGTATTTAATTGTTAACTTGAAAGCATTTCCTTTCTTGTGGTTATGCCAGTCATGATGCCCATTGCGGGTAGTGGTGGCCGTCAATTTGAATTCCCAAAGGGTAATCACTGCCCACACACAGCTTCTATGTTCAATTTATGTTTTATGAACGTCACCAGTCGTACATAGATGCCTTTCATCACTTTGATGAAACATAATTGTGTGTGTAAAAATCATGTTATAGGTGTGATGAACATGTCACACTGGTCAGCAATAATCTTGATACTATAACGGAGTGAGTGAGTGAGATTAGCTTTACGCAGCTCTTAGCAATATTCCAGCAATATCACGGCGGGAGACACCAGAAATGGGCTTAACACACTGTACCCATGTGGGGATTCGAACTCGGTTCTTCGGCGTGACGAACGAACGCTTTAACCACTAGGCTACTCCACCGCCCCTCACTATAACGGAGGTGTGAGTTAGTACGGATAATCTACTTAATGAATCATTTCTTTCCAGTATTGCCTGGAGAACAACCTTCACATTCACAGTGTGATGACCCATTTTCCCCAGGGATGGGACAATCCAGATTTCACCCGTCACCAGTTCAACACCTTCATGTCTCTGACCGAACCGTACAGGTTGGTACTCGCAACAAATGATCTCCTTTACCAGAACCGTCATATAACCGTCAAATGTTCTTTTGTGATTTCCAGTTCCCGAACGAAGGAAGTTATAATTTACGTGACATATAATAACTTTGTAAATCGACAGTGGTTGGTTGGCTGGTTGGTTAACGCCACACTAAGCAATATTCTAGTTATATGCCGGCGGTCTGTAAATAATCGAGGCTGGACCAGACAATCCAGTGATTAACAGCATGAGAATCGATCTACGCAATTGGGATACGATGACATGTGTCAACCAAGTCAACGAGCCTGACCACCCGATGCCGTTAGTAGGCTCTTACGAGAAGCATGGGTTGCTGAAGACCAATTCTAACCCTGATGTTCACGGGTCTTGTACTTGGCAGGAGACTTGGGGTGAAACTGCATGTCGCCAGCTCGTCGGCCATTGTACATGGGCTTGGGACCAATCTGGAGTTCATCCGATATGGTGCTAACCTGTACGGTCTGCAGACAGGTAGGTCATCGCACCAACATACATCAGTTTCACGACTTCCGATTCCACTTTTGTAGTTAGTTGCAGGTCTCATTTGGCATAAATATCAGACCCTGTAGTGGTCATCATTGCCCATGGTATGGATATGTTTCACGACATCCCGTCCATTATGTGGCTTGATGTGGGTGTCAGTGTAAGTGTCCTTCATTGTTTCATTTGTGTAGGTTCTTTTCCCTCTTTTAAATCCTCTGGTTTTGTAACACTTGAGGTTTTTGTGTCCTCAGATGCCAGTTCTGCTGAACAAGTGCGGTCACTAGGACTCAAACCTATTCTCTCGTGGCGAGCTCGCCCCAACCTCATCAAACAACTGCCCCAGGGCAGAACTGTTGGATACGGCAACCACTACATGTATGGATATACAATAATACAGGCAAAACATTAGCACAATCCTGTAAAATCTGTGAAAAACAGAAGCCACAAGGCCATAACCAATGAGGAGAAATCACAATATTCCCTTGAGTCAATTGTCAGATTACAAGCCAGGTGAAAATCCTACAATAAAATGTGACCATGACCTTTACAATCAACCAATCATATGCTAAAATGTCATCTCTTAGTGACTTAGTTTCGATTTGAAAATCTTAAATGATCGTGTTTCATTCTTATTTTAAGAACACTTGGCACAGAGACAATAGCGACCTTCGGTCTTGGCTTTGCGGACGGGTATGACTTGTTACTTTCTGGGAAAGGCGTCGTTACGCTCCAGAAAGGTGAGGTATCGTGCAAGACTTTCTGCCAAGTGACAAGTGGACTGCCCTTTCATAATCAGTTATACAAGTTCCTACAGGAAGATCTTACTCACGTGACATGAAACAATATTCATATTCATATTCAGAATGACACGTCTTGCCAAAATCCATGCCAAATCATCAAACAGCACCACGACACTGATCTGTAAAGCAAGTTAATGAAGCCATGACTCAGAAGGATGGAAAATAAATTACCAACATGGTCAAGAAAAGTAGGAAATGTCCTTGTCTGTTTAGCTGCTTAACAGATATGGAACCATATATTTAATTTTTTCTAGACATAAGAATTCTATAACATGTTCCCAGGAAAGACGGACATAATGTATCCATATCACAATAACAGCAGTATAGTGGCTTGTTGAGTTATGAGAATATGAAGGAGTCGGCGACAATACAGCTAGTTCACACCGACCTGGGAGATTGACATGGGCCTAAAAATCAGAAAACGGTATTCAAGGCTATGGCAGGGAGCACAATGACTTCTTTGATTGGCATTCTGGAAGTTGAGATGAAGAATGAGGACAATCTTTTATGGATATGTAACCTCTTTATTCTGTGCGGGCGACGCTTTGACATATTCTGTCACTTGCTTGACAACGACATTAAAAACTATGTCGAAACGTCGCCTATACAGAATAAAGAAGTTGTATATCTATAAAAACTTGTCCTCATTCTTCAGTGGGCACAATGTTATCAAAATAAAACTACGATATAATATCACGTCAAGTGCTAATCAAGTCGAGTTGTGTTGTATTTCAGATGGTCTTCTGTGTCCAGTTGTTGGTAAAGTGTCCATGGATGCCATCACAGTCCGTTTGGATGAACCAAGGCCTTCGTACGCTACGTTCAACATCATCACAGATGACTTCACCTCCCCGAACAGCTTGACTCGGATGTCTGCCGCGCTTGGTATGGATTCTGTGGAAGTGGTAACAAAGCTATCTTGCAGACTGGCCCGTGTCTTCGTGTCGGGAGCGCATGTGGAAGCCGTCAGTCATTAATGGCCTACCTTTAATTAAACCTCATAAACAGCTTGCCTGATATATGTTTCTTCCACGTTAAAAGAGAACCTACTATTAAATGACCTTACACCTTAATGGGAAAACGACCTTCATCACAATTTTCCACCGGACTTATGGAATACCTATCACTTTATACCATTCAGAGCTTTTCATAACACTAAGGAAAGATTGTTTCAATATCGTATTGTCCACAGAATTCTCACGACCAATAAAGACCTATACAACTATAATATATTAGAATCACCACCATGTACGTTTTGCAAGGCTGACAAAAAAAACATTGTACATTTGATGTTAGAATGCAGATACGTAAATAGGCTGTGGCAAAACCTTTTAAATTGGATTGAAGATAAAACAGACACTACTATAAACCTGGATCCGAAAACAGTCCTTTTGGGCTTTCATGAAAAACGTAACGATGTTCTGAACTTGATATTTGTCATGACAAAGGAATATATATATTCCAGAAAACTAGCAAATTTACGTCCAACCCTTGAAAGTCTCAAAGCCAAATTAAACCACAGTCACAATCTCCATATATATAATGCATACTCTGTATGCAAATATAGCAAGTTCACGACTTTCTCGTCATCATGCCACAACTTATTTACATAATCTATTCGATCTCACTTATGCTTGTTTTTTAATTGTGCTATGTATTTGAAATAGTGTTGTGTATGAAGGATAAAACTGTACCAGTGCGAAAAAGAAATAAAGTGAACAAAAAATATGACCTTACAAATGGGCGTAAGTAACCATATCCATCCTTAAAAGTTTCAATGCTCAATCTTTGCATAATACTGTTAACTTTGTGTCATGTACAGGTCAATATTGTAATAGAATCTAAATATGGTATAAGTATAAAAAACATCATGTAAACTTTGTCAATCATGAGTGTCACCTATGTTCGTTATATCACGATCTATCTGCAAATGTCCATCCATATTTTTAACATTAAAGTAAATAATAACCTAACAACATCATAGACAGTTACCTGGTTCTGAAGTTCACAGATCTGAGGCATCTTTAAGGGGGCATATTCACTGTTGATAGCTATGTTTTATCAAGCACTGAACGTTCGCGGTAGCAGCACTTGTCAGACATGACCTAATTACCACTGTGTGTCACTACGCTATTTACATCCATGAAGGATTCTACTACTGATGTCATTGTGTACTATTATTACACAGACTTATGTATTTCATGTCTCAAATGATATATTTATTCACTGTCTTGAATCATTGTGTATTTCGAGTGTTAACACCGATGTTTGTCAGGGACTATTTCTTGAGTACACTCCTATTTATAGAAAGTAAGTGTGACTTTTGACCCAGATAAACAATGACTTATTACACTTGTTAATGACGATTTTCTGATAACTTTCTTGCTCAGAAGTGTTTTAAAGTGTATTCCATGATGGATACTAATGAAAATTACACTTGATTGAATTGAATAACGAATTTGATCTGTTTGACATTTCTCAGGTTACGGTGTCCTGTCAACAACAGTTACGTTAGGCTGAGTGACTAATTATAAATTGGATGTCCGTTTTTATATCAAAGCCACATATTCATTATCTGGTATTTTCCTGCTTTCTATGGTAGAAATGCCTTGCTTTACGATATAGAGGACAATGTATAACCATCTGTATTTCCTACATTTGTACCTGCAATATGACAGTCGTTTCGTGTTTTGACATTTGTTGCCGACAATCATTCTAGGCACTAATTGACAGTCTGCTGTCCGTTTTCTCTGTTTGCATTTACCAAATATTTTGGCCATCTTGTTAGTGTCCGAATTGTTAAAGGACACATAGGACAACATCAATTCCTGGATACAGGGCATATTGATGCTACACTGGGCCAAAGTTGTCAATGGTCTTAGTATACATTTGACGTCTGTCAAAATGTCGTCCCGCCGCTTGGCCTGAATATTATCGTTGTCCTTATTCTTGTTATATCACATGTTTACACAAATCTCACTTGTCCATCATGGTTGATCTTTTTGGACACCTTATTTAACATAAGGACAATACCATATGATAAAGGAAACTGATGCTTTTGTAAATTTCACTTGTCATAGAGCCGACCACAAACCAAGATGGCGGCCACTGGCGCTACGTTGACGGAAAGATATTGTCCGTTCTATTATAACAAATTGTCTCGATGTCCTGATTATTTCTACTGTGTCCTAATTGTATTCGGACAAGAAGGACAACATAAGGACAATTAGTAGTCACTTACTTCTGTTAGAAATGAAACTGCCTAAGCAGTGTTTCTTGTATGCAAGCCATCAAACCTGTGTTCTGATTGGTTGAGAAAGGTCACATGACCTCCTGATGATGCCTATAAATACGATCACTGGTCAAGGCCTGACACACTCGATTCGGATTCGATTCAATCGGGTCACTGGATTTAGATGCAATAAGACTTTCGGTCTGATTAAAGGCTCCTGCTCGTTTTTACCTGGCACCTCTACTGACTTAGATTTATCATCATAACTGCTTCTAGGTATATATTTTAAGTCAAATTACAATCAATTTAATAACTATATTACATACTCAGTAACATTTCTGCAAGATATTTGAGTTGAAATAACAAAATAACTATTTCCTTGGAGACTGAGCCTTGTCATTAGATATATATATATATATATATAGGCCGAGTAGTGTGTAATATTTATTGGCATTTATTTTATTGCATTGCTAACAAAATCCCATCTACATTCTTGCCATTGAAACAAAATTAAAACAAAGTTTGCATGTATCACGGCAAACTTTGCTCTCTACTTCATGGTCTCCTTGTGTTATTTGTTTTCCCACGTGCACCCCAGGGTGTTACAATATTACCAAGGGCAGACAACTCCCAGATACAGAAGAGGAAGAAAATCCTCATTACCTGGGACATCGAGTATGTTCTTGTTCACGGACTGTACATAAAATGACCACAACGCTTTACAAATGTATCATGTCTTTATCCATTCTGGTCTTTGAAATTTACCAATCTGATGCATTGTGCAGAAAAACCAAGCATTATTATCATGGGAAATCTTGGCTTTAAACTCACATTCATGGATATTGACCTTCCTAAGACATGCAACTCAGCATTGTGGCACTGTCTGATCATGGGCATCAGCTGCAGGGGACCACTTTTAACCATGAAACCCCACAAGACACTGGCATGTTGTCCAGGAGTGAGTGAGTTTAGTTTTACGCCGCACTCAGCAATATTCCAGCTATATGGCGGCGGTCTGTAAATAATCGAGTCTGGACCAGACAATCCAGTGATCAACAGCATGAGCATCGATCTGCGCAATTGGGAACCGATGACATGTGTCAACCAAGTCAGCGAAACTGACCACCCGATCCCGTTAGTCGCCTCTTACGACAAGATAGTCGCCTTTTTATGTTGTCCAGGAAGTGTGGGTACTAACATGCATCTCTTTTTTTCTGCAGACATCATTTTCAGGACATCCACCATGCCCATATGGCATTTGTATATTTTTGTATGTCACAAGTTAGCATTGTCAAAAATACCTTTATATCTCCACTGTTTTCTTTCCATCCTAAGGTCGCTTTAACTACGTACTGTAACAATAGCCACACAAATCCCAACATACCTTTGGCAGTTACAAAAACATAATGCTGTTTATGAATATTGTTCTGGATGTAAGAGTCAAATACTCCACACTAACTCCTCATCCATTATCTCAGTGAAACTATTTTGCTTCAGTATTCCTTCAGTGTAATTTCCAAAGCAGAAACAATCAAACCCCTGATAACAACATACAAGACAAAAAACAAAACATTCTTATTTAAATATTTTCATTCCTCCACATTGATGTATATTCTGTACATACATTACAGTTTGAAACTGACAATGCTAAAGTACTTGTAGATTGAGCTGAAGGAATTGTGACAAGCTTCAAACACCACCATAACGATTTATTACACAATATTTAAGTGTTCCAGCTGTAGATTCACTAGTGCCAATGCAAAGAGTAACTGTTTCCAGTTTCAAAATCATTCATTGGATGATTAAGAATTACAGATTCAAATTACTAGTAATTTTCATTTTCTCCAAATATTCCTTTTGTCATATTCTCATTATGAGCACGCTGTGACTGTATTCATTAAACTGAATTAAGTCTGATAACAAAACAGTAACATGGTTGTTCACGAAGAGCAACTGGGTACATCTCATCTCTCACACCAATACAGGGGGAGAAGTCAATGTCACGTCGCTGCAGACGCTTCAGGAATGTGGAAGTCGTCGTTGTCAAAGATGAGTGGACGTTTGGTTAGTTCTGGCTTCTTTTCAGCTGTACACAGGTTAAGGACAATGTCTATGAACATGTATTATCAAACATATACATCATTATATCCAAATCCTTCATACATGTAATATCATACACAAGCTTGTCTGGTACGAATCTTGATCATATCAGATTTCTTTCTTCTCTCTCTGCTTGAAGACTCGGAAACCCTCCATAGAAGTTATCCAGTAAACACTAGTCCCTTTCACTAAGTTCCCTACAGAATTCAGTTACTGGTCTGGATACTCTGCTTAACCATACTGAGAATCTATAAGCTCATTACTGACTGGGAAAGTTATAAGAATGTTACCCTGACATTCTACAGAAGGGTTACCAGACCTTCATACAGAGTAGAATCACCTCAGAGCTAAGGTCTGCTTTTAATGAGATTGTTCCGTATCAAAAAGTGTTCAGTGTATTTCTGGATTTAGTTTCTATTACATTTCTTGTAGGTGATATGCATGAAATGTAAATCACAATTAATCATTTATTGCTACATTTTTATTGACATTTTGAAAATTTTAATATAAATTGTATATTTATATACTTATCCTATCTCGCAATTTGCACTTCTCTCTCTTGCTTCAACGCTGAGTGGAACGAATGAGAACTTTTCCTGTAGGCCTCTCTTGTAGATAGACCTGTGTTCCCCAGGCTGCTCTCCTTATAGGACAGGTCCCTAGTCCCCGGCTAAGCGTGCAGCACGTTCCCCTGTCTACCCACGTGACTACCTCAGAGTGATCATTCTCTTCTTGGAGCCAATGACAGTTATACTTAACCGTTGTAATCTGAGTAGAGGGGAGGCTGGGTGGGCATCCATCTCATAAGATAGGATAAGTATATAAATATACAATTTATGGGTACTCCTGAGCAATGTGGCGTTCGGCTGCAGGATCCAACTAGCATAGTATCTATACTAGTGATGGGTTCTCCTGAACCCCTTGACGTGAATGCTCTGTGGAGTAGAGGTCAGCAAGCGAAATTGTCGAACACTTCTACATATGTAGGAAGCAACGACGAACTAGGTCAATAGCTACCAAGGTCACTACATGCGATGGATAGTTTGAACCCACTGACTTACTAGGCACAAGTGCTCCCAGGGACCGGGATTCCCGAGCAATGTGGTGTTCAGTCACTACCTTCACGAAAGTGAAAGGACGCAGCTTAGCGAGATTTCCAAGGTCTAACGACTAGTATCAGGCCAGCCCCTGCTTCGAAACAACCCCCACAGACACCGTCCCATGGAGGGTGAAAGGGTAATTGAATCAGAAAACTCACAATTTTAACGTTCAGTACAACATCATCTTATGACTTCCACTACTGCCCACAGTAAGTATTTTCCACTCTGTGGGTGACGATTGTTTGGGACGTGACAGGGCATCGGAAATGACATTCCTCGTCCCGGGAATGTGTCGGGCTCTGGCCACTGTGTTTAGTGAATCGATCAGATGATAAATTCGAAACATCAACTGAAGCAGAGCTGCTGATCCTGTCGACCCCTGATGGTTTATGTACCAAACTACCATCAAATTATCTGATTGAATCAGTATATGAGAGGACCATAGTTCAACTGCTCAATACCGAACGTCGAGAATGACAGTGCTGAAGTCCAATTCGTTGATATGAAGGGCCCTTTCTCCTAATGACCACTGCTAGGCCACTTGATGGAGAAAGTGAGCGCCCCAGCCCCTGAGAGATGCGTCAACAAACAGGTGTTGAGTCGGTATGAAGGCACCATAGAGACTCCACCGCAAACATTCCACTCGTTCAGCCAGCAACGAAAGACTGAATGTAGTTTTGCGGGAAGATGAATCAACTCCCTGGGGTTGTCGTCCCCGATGTATGGGCACAGAAACATCCGAAGAGGGCGAAGCTGCAGCTGGCCCCTGTAAGTCAGCGCTTGTGCCGATGTCAACCACCCTAGTAACTTCTGCCACTGGCGAAAAGTTGTGGGTTAGACCAGCACTAGTGGTACATTGCACTGAATCTTGACCTGTCGTGTTGAATATTGTCCCAATAAAAAGTAATCACCAGGTCGGCGTTACCTCCAATTTCTCTGAATTCAGCAGCCACCCTAATTGTACGAGCAGCTTGATGATGAACTGCCTTTGGAGATGAAGGACAACTGGATCCTGCTGGGCTTGAACAGTCATCAATATAGTTCTCAAATGTCACGCCTCAACAATGCAGGTAGCTTGTTATCGGATTGGGTACCTGAGTAAAGCACCATGGGGCCGTACATATGCCAACCCTCCATTGGTAATGATGCCTCTTGAAAGTAAATCGAAGATACTTCCAATAGTCTGGATGTATCGGAATGTGAAGGTAGGCGTCTCGCAGGTCGAGGGAAATGAGAGGTCTAACAACTCTTGCCTCCGACAAAGAGAATCGAGATATCTCCTGAGATAAGAATGTTCAATAAGTCGAGCTACTATGTCAGTACTAACGGAGTGCTGAATGTAGTATGTTCGGCGCATGGAGATTGTCAGTCAATCTACAGGAACGTTCACATTGTAAACGAATTGAAGAAATTCGTACGATCGGCGACCTCAACGTTTTGGTTCGCCAAACAAAATGATAGTTCACCAGGTGGAATGATAAAGGCAGTAGATAGGTGCCTGGTGACAGTCCACACATAACTACAGTGACCTCTGAACTCAGTGCTTGAGCCAGTGTAGAAAACCGCGTAGCCCCAGCCAAAGTCAAACCGTTCACGGGTGTTTCTGTCTGTCACCTTCGATAAGTAGTCTCTCTCGACAAGCTGTCGAAATCCCGACACAATCACTCTTACCGGGAATGGCACCGTTCAATGTTCCTAGCATTGAAAGGCTGGACTTGATATCCGATTCGTGGGACCAGAGTCACTCTTATCATCAAAATTCGGGTGAACAAACAGTAGTCCGCCATTTGCAAACGTTACACACGAGTGACAAAAAAACGGACAACACGGTCTTCGGTTAACCGGGCGAGTCGCAACCCATAAATTCCGGGCTGAGCTATGCTGGCTATTTGACAAAACATCACTGCTTGTACCATGTGCAAAAACTTGACCCATCTGTTATCTGTCCAGAAACTTGCTTATCATGTAAAACAAAGGGAGCTGAAGATGACGAACCATCTGCAATAATTGCACCCAGCGATACACAAACACGCTGTTATCAGTAGTCTGTAGTAACAAGACTCAGTGAAGCGTCGTAAAGTATTCCTGGCTAGCAAGCGTATCTAGTAATGTCCTATCGGGTGGTTGTAGAACTGATATCGACACCGAAGGGTAGAATCGTTGAACCGAATCATTCTTCAAAGGTGAAGATCGGATGGTAGATTAAATCTGGAATGAGATGAGCCCCAGTCACGGAGGACTCTTGAGAACTGGGAACATCAGACCGTCAAGTGCCGAGTATGATATGTCTAGATGACTGTGCTACTGACATCACATGTAAATCGATTCGGCATGGTGAAGCACATAGCTACTACCTCTGTTCAACCAGCCGAAAAGGGGTACAAGGTGGGATAAGTAATGTGACTAAAAACATTAAGCACCTCACAAGCCGTAAGGTAAACCGGGTAAACTAATCAAATTGTCGTGCTTAGAGCTTGCCACTTCGTAATGAGGAATTCAGAGCCTCAACCAAACCAATTCCTGTATCTCATAGGCGATTGGCATAGCCCGAACCATGAAAACAAAGACGAGGTTCGATGTCGGTTAAGTGTCTTGGGAGCCATCCGAGACACATTTGGTAGAGGCTCTGATGGGCTGATAAGATGCGCTGTGTTGGAAATAACACGAGTGGTCAATCGCCTGATTCGTGAATAAGCTCAATTGCTGGCAAGGTCCGAGGAACGGATTATTGACGAATACTGACAGTTCGATGAATGCTGACAATTCAGCAATCTTGAACGGCCAGGTGAACTGGTTCTGCGATAGGAATCGGTTCGTCCTGGTGAAACGGTACGAGTCGGGCTGGTAAATCGGTTCAGGGTGGTGAGCCGGAACGTTGATGTGATCTGAATCAGTCCATGATCTGGATCGGCGTTGTGATCTGGAGAGGACTGTGATCTAGATCGGTTCGGTAATCCAAAACATTTAAATGATCTCAGCTGATGGAGAGATCTAGAACGATCAGATGAATCGGGGAGGAGAGGTGAAATGTTCCGGCCGAGGTGAATTGGTTCAACGAGGTGAATCATTTCGGTGAAGAGAGCCGTGTACGACGAGGCAAGCCGTTTCAGTGCTGTGAATCGAATCGATGATGTGAACCGTTTTGGCGATAAGAAACAGTGTTAATATTACGGCGAATTGAGTCGATGTCGTAATCCAATAGGCCGTGGCGAAACGGTTCGGTCTGGTGAATCCATTCGGTATGGCGAACCGATTCTGTGTGGTGAATTGGTTCGGCGATTTGACGATGTAGATCGGCTGTGTGAGTCAGCTGGCAACACAGAGCGGTTTGATGAGGCGGAACGACGAGTAGACATCTGATGATGCGCCAATAAAATCATCACCATCCGACATGGGAATCTCTGGACGACGAGCAGTTAATACTGGTTGTTGAAAGCGGGGTTTTGTTGGGTGATCAACTGTTGAAATGTAACGAGCTCTGTCTGCCAGCCAACGGGAGAAAGCATGTCTATATGCTCTAAAAACGTCCTTGATAAAGGAGCACATTCCCGACAATGTTTGCTCCAGGAACACAGGTCAATACAACCCACACATGACGAGTGGGATCCGAGGAAGTAAATATACTTAGGGTCAACTACCCATGATATATTTCTCATGTTAACTTGTAAGTAAAGCTGAAAACTCTCACATTACGTCCACACAGTGGTGCGACAAGCAGAAGAATGATCACTCTGAGGTAGTCATGTGGGTAGACTGGGGAACGTGCTGCACGCTTAGCCGGGGACTAGGGACCTGTCCTATAAGGAGAGCAGCCTGGGGAACATGGGCGTATGGACAAGAGAGGCCTACAGGAAAAGTTCTCATTCGTTCCACTCAGCGTCGAAGCAAGAGAGAGAAGTGCAAATCGTGAGATACGATAAGTTTAAAAATTTGTAATGTCCTGTTATCTCCAGCAAAAATTTTCACCTTCACAAAATAATGTAGGTTTGGACTGTGCAATGTATACAAAAAGATAAAATATACACAAGAGAATATTATACAAGAAAACATGGCATCAATTTACTTCCAATATGCTACTCCCATTTTACTGTCTGTACAGGAAGTCAAACATTTGCAACCACACTAGTTAGCAACAGTGTGAGTGAGTGAGTTTAGTTTTACGCCTCCTTAAGCAATATTCAAGCAATATCACGGTGGGGACACCCATGGGGGGTATGGAACACGGGTCTTCAGAATTACGAGCAAAAGCCTTAACCACTAGGCCACCCCACCACCCAGTTACCAATAGACGGTGTATTAGAAGTTATTAGAAGTATGTCCTGACTATATTGTGTGTAAATGTAGAGGTGTAAAAGGATATCTGTAGAGCAGCTTGAAGAGGCCAGTGCCTATTGTCATCGGGATTCCCATGATGATGCACTCACTCACACCTGAAACACAAATATTACACACGACACTGTTGATCAGTGGTTGATACTCGCAGGATTAATGTACCCAAAACTATTGGGTATAAGCCACATTCACTGAAACAAATTCCTAGGGGGTAAAATGTGAGACATAGATTATGTCATCATGTCCTTTGATATCAAATATATCAACATGAATAAACATTCTGATGACTGAGTGTTTGATTGAGATTTGATTTCTCATTCTATCTGTGGTGGCGTGTGTTCCTGTGCATTAAGCTTAGGTCACAATCAGGTGAAGTTAAGCAACGTTGGTCGCGGAGAGTCCTTAAATAGGTGATCGTGTTTGGCAGCTTGACTCCTGAGAGTTTCTAGGCCTTGAGTCCTGCCCCACAACGAAGCACATGAGACATGTGGTCTCACCGTAGGCAAGTGAGTTTGTTCAAAATTGCCTAGGTTCACCCAGCAGAAAAAGGGTACCCGGTAGGATAAGGCATGTAACCACTAACCTTCTAGCGCTTCACAGGCAGCTTGGGTTATCCAGGGTAATAATAATCAGATTGTTTGGGCGCTTCAAACATGCATTTTGCATGGAGAAATGAGCGTGATAAATGGACTATTATTATCATTATTCTAAATATTCTGAATGTAAACAGTCATAATCATCAGCATAAACCATACAGCTAACCAGCTTCAGGGAAGCCAACACTCAATATCTACACATCAGTTTATCCGTTGACATGTTGGCTAATATCTACTATGTGTATATCCTGAAAGCAATATACAAAATTTGTTGATTTTGACATATCTAGTGCCAAAAGACGAATGGGTAATGTGTATCAAATAAACAAACCATTGATGGAGTCTGTCTGTCCGTAGTATGCAGCATCGAACAGATGGTCGGCAGTTTTCTCAAACTGAAATGGAGAATGTGTTCTGTCAGGACCGTCACAACAAACACACCTGTGTTCATTAGGCAAGGTGAAGTGGGGTGTAACATTTCAAGATTTTTGCACTCAAACAGCCCAGTGTGCTTCACTGTACAGTGGAAGCTGTCAAAACCAGCAGTTGTCCAATCCAGCAAGTTGTCAACACCGGCATAAAATCTCAGTCCTGTCTGTGGCTAGTACATTTATCATCATATAAGAGCTCTCCAATCCGGCAGCTGTCAATTCTGGATCTTGGCATGAAATGAGCCGCCCGAATATGTTTATACAGTAATCAGCACTGTCTAACCCGGTGCATGGCGGATGTGTATTGTCACAAATTAATCCTGCGTTGAAACTACATGGTTGCTGACAAAGATAATTTATTCCTAGTTCAGTGTGGGTATCCTTGTACATGTAATTAGTGAGTATGAGCTCAAATCTTTGTCTTTTATTGTCAGTGTGTGCAGTAATTGAGAGAACCACATGATACAACAACGTATATGAGAGTGACAAAACTGATTCAGTTCTAGTTGTATGTAACCGAGTGAGCTCTACAATCCAGCACGCTGTCTAAACTGGATTATTTCTTCAGTCCCAACGAGTGCCGGTTTAGACAGCTTCCACTGTATTAGTCTGGACAAATGTCAATTTTACAGTACGAGCCCGATGCCTATATGAATACCAAATCCGGAAAAGTTATGATTACGATCCCAAGCCGTCTTTGTTATATCTTCCTTACTGCCCACAAGAAGGCAGGGAAACAACAAGTGACATCTTTTAAAATCTTTTGGTATGACCTTCTGATGTCCTGGCAGGACCATGGTGTGGTGGTTAGAGCGTCCGCCCAGACGGTGGAAAATCGCGGGTTTGATTGCTGGCCACATCATACCAAATGGTACTTGTTGGTCCTTGCCTGGCATTAATGGGTACAACAAGGACTGGTCGGCTCGGAGTCAGTATGTGTGTGAGTGGGGTATTCATGCTTAACTGCAGCATGGTACCTCAGTAAGCTGGCACTATAAAACCAGCTGAAGTCTGGGCTTGTACAAGCAGTCACACATACACAAACATGCACGTCGTCATATGAACGAAATATTTTTAAGTACAACGTTAAACCCCATTTCACCTCACCTCACCTGTCCAGGCAGATGCTCCATCAGCTACATCACAGATGCAGAGCTACTTTTTCATAAATCTGTTTGCCTTCAGAAGTATCATACTCTAATATGTCACTTCAATATGATCCATAGTTTGACAAAAATAAACAATATTTTCAGGATTGGCATCCATCAGATTATACAAACCTCTCTAGTTGATATAGACAGGCAAGTCCAGCAATCAGCATTTGGAAAACTATATTCAATGAGGGAAACTTACAAGGATGTCAGTGAAAATCATGCAGTTATCTGATGGAAGGGCTGACTGTGGACACTGATTCCATGATGCGACACAACTGAAATACTTACAGACGCCAGCATCAACACGCTGTCCTTCATTTTGGCCAGCCCAAATCTGGTGATCCCAAGAACTTCTCCCTTGAAAAACAATAAACATTTCAATTCTCCATTTCCTGACAATTCTTGAGTTGGGGGTGAAATTTGGCTCGGCATAAAAAACACACAAAAAATAATTTAGGTTCAACTGCATAACACGGGAACACCTCACAGAAAATCGACTGAACCTGAGTAACTATGACAAAAGCACATCAAACACTTTTCTGAAAAGATCTTATGAAACATAGTGGGTGATTTCACCTTAAAGGTCATCAGGTCAGCCAGTAACATGACATGTCTGATGTCGATGCTCATGCCATGGTTGACCATGGTGTATACAATCTCGTTCATGATGGTTGAACGAGCAGCCTCCACCCCAAGTGTCTTCATCACCTCGAATGTATTATTAGATAATGTGGCGGTGCCTTTCACCCCTGAAACAATCAATTTGCTGTTAGAAACTGTTGAAGTGTAAACTGAAAGAATGAAAGGGAGCGAATAATCCAGTGTAATGAGATCAGTGAGACAATACTGACAATACATCATCACGGTAAATCTGTGAACCATTGCCATGGGAGACAACTCTGCACATGTACAAGACATACCACTAGCCAATTTGTGATGACAGATTGAATATTGTTCAAAGTCAGTCAACAGTAATACAGTCATATCACAATGACCTGTAAACAAATGACTCTGGACAAGACTCTAAAGCTTAAGAAACAAATTGACAATCAGCAAATTCTATGCAGACGGACAACACTATCAATTTTCATGGACCCTCAGTAAAAAGGGCATAGGTTCATGAGGACCTGTTCTGCCTACGTATCCCAATGGATGACTTGAACGAATAAGTGAATATTGCTTATTGCCACATCAGCAGGTTTACTGCTATTTACAGTTAAAGTAAAACATGATCTTCAGCCCCCTAACAATCTAATGTCACCACTGTTGCTCGCCCAACCACAGATGTCAACCACTACCACTTATCCACAGATTTGCTGTACATACCTTGAGTGGCCATAACCTCCAATAAATTATCTCCCTCCACCAGCAGTGTGAGGGAGTCAGACTTCTCGTCTATATGTATCACAGCACGCGTCACAGTCGGGATGCCCTGAAAGCAATACAGACAATAATCTGAGGTCTTTGTATGGCAACCCAAATGTTTAGAATTATACAAGGTCGGGAGTGTCATGAAGCAACCACAGATCCAAGATTCATAACTTGTCTCCAGTCAAGCGTATGTCCAGAAGAAAACAATGCATTCACATCTGTCATCTTGGTGGGTCTTATCTGCATCATCTTGTTTTGTGATGATGATTTTGTAGTCATCAATACAAGAGCTATTCATGACAGCCTGCAGTGTAATCAAGACTGGATCTGAATATTAATCATTAACAAACAGGTGTCACAAACATAACTATATTCAGGCACAAATCAGAATGATCATCTGATCCCATTGTGGTCTCCATAAACACAAGTACTGACACAAAGCAACAATACAAGACCTGACAGGTAGTCAAGTCAAGTCAAAGATATTAATTGTACTTAAGGCCTCAGACCCATATACAAGTAATACAAGTATATACAAGTATACACAACATGTTACATACATTTCAAAAAACAAATTAAATTTCAGATAAGATATTGTTTCTACAGATAACAGCATGTTTTATATAAAGCGTTAGATTACATATTACATAGTCCCAGGGTGCACAGTCTCACCTTGATCATGACGCCAGGCAGGTGCTTCTTGAGGTTCTGCAGCACGGCACGTAGTACATGGACGACTTGGACGTCTCGTGTGCAGATACCGAAAGGAGGTCAGTGTTGTAGATGTGGACATCCTGCACAAATCACAGTCAAAGTGACATTTGCCGGTGAAACCATAGATTGAACATACCCAGTATATATTGGTTGATTGGCATAACGAGTAAGTCAATGAGTTGGTTTACTATGAACAGTATTTCAAAATCTTGGTGACAAAATACAAACAAACAGGAATAAAACACGAAACACTGTTGAGATGACATTATAAATACTTACAGGAAACTTGATCCCAAGTTTGGATTTAGTTAATGAATCTCTGATACTGTCTGCTGTCACCTCCAGCTGAAGCAAAAACACACGTAGAACGTTAACATCGTTCTCTTTAGCCTCCATGAATTGAATTCATCCATGTCAAAAAGCCAAACTGTTGACAACAAAGATTAAACCAAATCACATGAACACAGAGACGACTTACCTTGAGCAGTTTGATTCTGTCCATGTCTAGTTTGATGAGTATAAAACAATCATCTGGAAGGAATACTTCTTCAATGTACTCCGACACCTGAAATAGGAGACTTGATCAGGAAAACTTTGAAGCAGTATCAGTCTGAAAAAACTGGTTCCCCTATCTCTCCTGAACAAATGAACAGTGAAGTTGATGTTATCACCATGCTTAAGAAGAAGTCATTATGTATTCCAACATGGCAATAAACATTCCTGTCACACCCACCCCACACAACATCTCCTAACATTTAGCAACATCTCCCATCACACATCATGTCCCACATCGACCCACCTCTCCCATCACACATCATGTCCCACGTCGACCCACCTCTCCCATCACACATCATGTCCCACGTCAACCCACCTCTCCCATCACACATCATGTCCCACGTCGACCCACCTCTCCCATCACACATCATGTCCCACTTCGACCCACCTCTCCCATCACACATCATGTCCCACGTCTACCCAATTTCTCCTATCACACATCATGTCCCATGTCGACCCACCTCTCCTATCACACATCATGTCTATCACGCCAACTCCCACCTCTCCTATCACACATCATGTCCCACGCTTTCATTCCACCATCACACCATGTCTCCTCCCATCACACATCATGTCCCACGTCTACCCACCTCTCCACATCATGTCCCACGCCACACATCATGTCCACGTCAACGCCACTCTTCCTTATCACACATATCATGTCCCATCGCCTAATTCCACTCTCTCCCATCACACATCATGTCCCACGCCTAATTCCACCTCTCCCATCACACATCATGTCCCACACTCCATCTCCCATCACATCATGTCCCACGCCAACCCCACCTCTCCCATCACACATCATGTCCCACGCCTAATCTCATCATCACACATCATGTCCTATCACATCCCACGCTTCATGTCACCATCGCCCACCTCTCATCATCACACATCATGTCCCACGTCTACCCACCTCTCCCATCACACATCATGTCCCACGCCTACCCACTTCTCCTATCCACATCATGTCCCACGCTTCTACCCCACCATGTCCTCCTATCATCATGTCCCACGCTTCACCCTCCTCCCATCACACATCATGTCCCACGTCTACCCACCTCTCCCATCACACATCATGTCCCACGCCAACCCACCTCTCCATCACACACATCATGTCCACGCCTACCCACCTCTCCCATCACATCATGTCCCACGTCTACCCACCTCTCCCATCACACATCATGTCCCCGCCGCATGTCCTTACTTCTCAATATCATGTCCCACGCCACCCACTCCTCCCATCACACATCTCTCCCATCACACATCATGTCCCACGTCTACCCACCTCTCCCATCACACATCATGTCCCACGTCTACCCACCTCTCCCATCACACATCATGTCCCACGTCTACCCACCTCTCCCATCACACATCATGTCCCACGTCTACCCACCTCTCCCAGCACAGTCTCTCTATATCCCACCCTACCCACCTCTCCTTGACAACCCTTTCTATCGTCTGCCCTTGACAACCCTGGCAAATTCCGCGTTGTCGCTGACCTCCAACTGGGCGCTGATGATGGGAGTGCTGATGGACTTGGAGGCGTTGATGATCTCCTTGATTCTGGGCACACCAAGCGTGATGTCTTACACTGTCAAGGACGTTTTCCAGGGAATATCATCTTTTCAGTAACATTTACTATGATGTAATTAAAACAGGTGTATCCATTTTCTCAAAGAGATATGCAAACCAGGACAAACAATTGCTGGGGCTTATCCCACACCATGAGCATTTAAAGTTAGTATTTGTCCCGACACCCAGCACCCAACACCCAACAACCTGCACCCAACACCCAGCAACCTGCACCCAACACCCAGCAACCTGCACCCAACACCCAGCAACCAACACCTACTAACCTGCACCAAACACCCAGCAACCTGCACCCAGCAACCAGCAACCTGCAGCCAGCAGCCAGCAACCTTCACCCTGCACCCAACACCCAGCAACCAACACCTACTAACCTGCACCCAACACCCAGCAACCTGCACCCAGCAACCAGCAACCTGCAGCCAGCAACCTTCACCCTGCACCCAACACCCAGCAACCTGCACCCAGCAACCTGCACCCAGCAACCTGCACGCAGCAACCAGCTCCCAGCAACCAGCACCCAACACCCAGCAATCTGCATGCAGCAACCAGCAACCAACACCTACTAACCTGCACCCAACACCCAGCAACCAGCACCCAGCAACCAGCACCCAACACCCAGCAATCTGCACCCAACACCCAGCAACCAACACCTACTAACCTGCACCCAACACCCAGCAACCAGCACCCAACACCCAGCAACCAACAACCAACAACCTGCACCCAGCAACCTGCACCCAACACCCAGCAACCTTCACCCAACACCCAGCAACCTGCACCCAACACCCAGCAACCTGCACCCAACACCCAGCAACCTGCACCCAATACCCAGCACCCAACAACCTGCATGCAGCAACCAGCACCCAACACCCAGCAACCTGCACCCAACACCCCGCAACCTGCACCCAACACCCAGCAACCAACACCCAACACCCTGCAACCAGCACCCAACACCCAGCAACCTGCACCCAACACCCCGCAACCTGCACCCAACACCCAGCAACCAACACCCAGCAACCTGCACCCAACACCCAGCAACCTGCACCCAACACCCAGCAACCAACACCCAACAACCTGTACCCAGCAACCTGCACCCAACAACCGGCACCCAGCAACCTGCACCCAACACCCAGCAACCTGCAACCTGCACCCAGCAACCATGGATTGAGTGTCCACGCTTGGTAGCCTGGTTGATTGTGTGTCAGTGTGCTTGTAAATCATGAATCACTTCTCCTGGTATCAGTGACTTATAGGAGATTTAATCTACCACTGTCATATAACTGGAATACTGCTGAATCCGTGACAAACAAATCTTGATTCACATGAAGTTGTTTTCTGGGTGTAACAATATTTTACTTGCAGTTGAGTACAGAAGTTGAGCATGTTGTGTACAGAGCCAAGTTGGCTCAGTGTTACACATGGCTCGACAGGTCACTGTGCAGAGTTGTGTCCCTTGCCTTCAATTTCGGGCTCTCTTCTGACCACAAGCTGATGCACGATGAATACTGTTCAGTCACTCACTAAGATATTGTCTGAATAGACCAAACACATATGACGTGTTTAAAATATTTAACGTTAAATATAAATAAGGATACTCATGGACGCCACCCCGGCGAAGTGAAAGGTCTTGAGGGTCATCTGTGTCCCCGGCTCCCCGATAGACTGGGCACACACAGCTCCCACTGCCGTCCCTGAGGGTAGACATGTTCAACAGTAGTACAGCTACATGGATACACAGCACACTGATCATACTACACATCTCATCACATCCTTTACACTGCAGGTTACAATGGTGGACACGGAAGTCTTGCACTTTTCAAATACACATCATACTGTGTTGGAAATCATGTTACTGAGACTAGCGTGACCTACCTGGCTCTATGAGGGCCCGCATGTACTTGTCCAGACAGGTGTTACTGAAACTAGCATCACCTACCTGGCTCTATGAGGGCCTGCATGTACTTGTCCAGACAGGTGTTACTGAAACTAGCATCACCTACCTGGCTCTATGAGGGCCTGCATGTACTTGTCCAGACAGGTGTTACTGAGACTAGCATCACCTACCTGGCTCTATGAGGGCCCGCCTGTACTTGTCCAGACAGGTGTTACTGAGACTAGCATCACCTACCTGGCTCTATAAGGGCCCGCATGTACTTGTCCAGACAGGTGTTACTGAGACTAGCATCACCTACCTGGCTCTATGAGGGCCTGCATGTACTTGTCCAGACAGGTGTTACTGACACTAGCATCACCTACCTTGCTCTATAAGGGCCTGCATGTACTTGTCCAGACAGGTGTTACTGAGACTAGCATCACCTACCTGGCTCTATGAGGGCCCGCCTGTACTTGTCCAGACAGGTGTTACTGAGACTAGCATCACCTACCTGGCTCTATAAGGGCCCGCATGTACTTGTCCAGACAGGTGTTACTGAGACTAGCATGACCTACCTGGCTCTATAAGGGCCCGCATGTACTTGTCCAGACAGGTGTTACTGAGACTAGCATCACCTACCTGGCTCTATGAGGGCGCGCATGTACTTGTCCAGACAGGTGTTACTGAGACTAACATGACCTACCTGGCTCTATGAGGGCCCGCCTGTTCTTGTCCAGACAGGTGTTACTGAGACAAGCGTCACCTACCTGGCTCTATGAGGGCCCGCATGTACTTGTCCAGACAGGTGTTACTGAGACTAGCATGACCTACCTGGCTCTATGAGGGCCCGCATGTACTTGTCCAGACAGGTGTTACTGAAACTAGCATGACCTACCTGGCTCTATGAGGGCCCGCATGTACTTGTCCAGACAGGTGTTACTGAGACTAGCATCACCTACCTGGCTCTATGAGGGCCCGCATGTACTTGTCCAGACAGGTGTTACTGAGACAAGCGTGACCTACCTGGCTCTATGAGGGCCTGCCTGTACTTGTCCAGACAGGTGTTACTGAGACTAGCACGACCTACCTGGCTCTATGAGGGCCCGCCTGTACTTGTCCAGACAGATGTTACTGAGACTAACATGACCTACCTGGCTCTATGAGGGCCCGCCTGTACTTGTCCAGACGACCTACCTGGCTCTATGAGGGCCCGCATGTACTTGTCCAGGCAGGTGTTACAGAGACTAACATGACCTACCTGGCTCTATGAAGGCCCGCCTGAACTTGTCCAGACAGGTGTTACTGAGACTAGCATGACCTACCTGGCTCTATGAGGGCCCGCATGTACTTGTCCAGACAGGTGTTACTGAGACTAGCATGACCTACCTGGCTCTATGAAGGCCCGCCTGAACTTGTCCAGACAGGTGTTACTGAGACTAGCATGACCTACCTGGCTCTATGAGGGCCCGCCTGTACTTGTCCAGACAGGTGTTACTGAGACTAGCATGACCTACCTGGCTCTATGAAGGCCCGCCTGAACTTGTCCAGATAGGTGTTACTGAGACTAGCATGACCTACCTGGCTCTATGAGGGCCCGCATGTACTTGTCCAGACAGGTGTTACTGAGACTAGCATGACCTACCTGGCTCTATGAAGGCCCGCATGTACTTGTCGAGACAGGTGTTACTGAGACTAGCATGACCTACCTGGCTCTATGAGGGCCCGCATGTACTTGTCCAGACAGGTGTTACTGAGACTAGCATGACCTACCTGGCTCTATGAGGGCCCGCCTGTACTTGTCCAGACAGGTGTTACTGAGACTAGCATGACCTACCTGGCTCTATGAGGGCCCGCATGTACTTGTCCAGACAGGTGTTACTGAGACTCGCATGACCTACCTGGCTCTATGAAGGCCCGCATGTACTTGTCCAGACAGGTGTTACTGAGACTAGCATGACCTACCTGGCTCTATGAGGGCCCGCATGTACTTGTCCAGACAGGTGTTACTGAGACTAGCATGACCTACCTGGCTCTATGAGGGCCCGCATGTACTTGTCCAGACGACCTACCTGGCTCTATGAGGGCCCCATGTACTTGTGCCCGAGACAGGTGTTACTGAGACTAGCATGACCTACCTGGCTCTATGAGGGGCCCGCATGTACTTGTCCAAGACAGGTGTTACTGAGACTAGCATGACCTACCTGGCTCTATGAGGGCCCGCATGTACTTGTCCAGACGACCTACCTGGCTCTATGAGGGCCCGCATGTACTTGTCCAGACGACCTACCTGGCTCTATGAGGGCCCGCCTGTACTTGTCCAGACAGGTGTTACTGAGACTAGCATGACCTACCACCTGGCTCTATGAGGGGGCCGCATGTACTTGTCGAGACAGGTGTTACTGAGACTAGCATGACCTACCTGGCTCTATGAGGGCCCGCATGTACTTGTCCAGACGACCTACCTGGCTCTATGAGGGCCCGCATGTACTTGTCCAGACGACCTACCTGGCTCTATGAGGGCCCGCATGTACTTGTCCAGACAGGTGTTACTGAGACTAGCGTGACCTACCTGGCTCTATGAGGGCCCGCATGTACTTGTCCAGACAGGTGTTACTGAGGCTAGTATCACCTACCTGGCTCTATGAGGGCCCGCATGTACTTGTCCAGACGACCTACCTGGCTCTATGAGGGCCCGCATGTACTTGTCCAGACAGGTGTTACTGAGACTAGCGTGACCTACCTGGCTCTATGAGGGGCCAAGATGTGTACTTGTCCAGACAGGTGTTACTGAGGCTAGTATCACCTACCTGGCTCTATGAGGGCCCGCATGTACTGTCAGGCGACCTACCTGGCTGGCTCTATGAGGGCCCGCATGTACTTGTCCAGACAGGTGTTACTGAGACTAGCGTGACCTACCTGGCTCTATGAGGGCCCGCATGTACTTGTCCAGACGACCTACCTGGCTCTATGAGGGCCCGCATGTACTTGTCGAGACAGGTGTTACTGAGACTAGCATGACCTACCTGGCTCTATGAGGGCCCGCATGTACTTGTCCAGACAGGTGTTACTGAGACTAGCATGACCTACCTGGCTCTATGAGGGCCCGCATGTACTTGTCCAGACGACCTACCTGGCTCTATGAGGGCCCGCATGTACTTGTCCAGACGACCTACCTGGCTCTATGAGGGCCCGCCTGTACTTGTCCAGACAGGTGTTACTGAGACTAGCATGACATACCTGGCTCTATGAGGGCCCGCCTGTACTTGTCCAGACAGGTGTTACTGAGACTAGCATGACCTACCTGGCTCTATGAGGGCCCGCATGTACTTGTCCAGACGACCTACCTGGCTCTATGAGGGCCCGCCTGTACTTGTCCAGACAGGTGTTACAGAGACTAGCGTCACCTACCTGGCTCTATGAGGGCCCGCATGTACTTGTCCAGACAGGTGTTACAGAGACTAGCGTCACCTACCTGGCTCTATGAGGGCCCGCATGTACTTGTCCAGACAGGTGTTACTGAGACTAGCGTCACCTACCTGGCTCTATGAGGGCCTGCATGTACTTGTCCAGACAGGTGTTACTGAGACAAGCGTGACCTACCTGGCTCTATGAGGGCCCGCATGTACTTGTCCAGACAGGTGTTACTGAGACAAGCGTGACCTACCTGGCTCTATGAGGGCCCGCATGTACTTGTCCAGACAGGTGTCCAGCATCTTCTTCACCTGCAGCTTGGTGACCCTCTCCACCTGGTACACAACTACAACAAACAAACACACCATCTGAACATTCTCTCGTCACCATGAGACAATAACAAATATAAGATGTGAGCCCTGACAATATTCTATGATAACATTACCTACATAACTGTGGTATCAAACAAACATCTACTACCGTCATCCCATCTGGACCTTTACATCATCACATCCTGGGGAAGAAAAACAGGGGGATGGTAGTGTGAGCAGAGATTACTAGAGGGTACTATGTGGGTGGGACACACGTAGTGGCACGAGACAATCCTTGGAGCTGTGGCAATAATCTTTATGAAAATTCCCCAGAAACCTCATTTTTAGTAACAGATGTTTATCTATGATTTATAAAGAGTGAGTGAGTTTAGTTTTATGCCGCACTCAGCAATATTCCAGCTATATGGCAGCGATTTATAAGGAACTAATGATTTCAATTTTACCATTTCCTTTCTTTGACTTCTGTTTTGTTACAAGTTTACTCCGGGTTTTGTCGATCTTCTCAGCATAATTCTCCATATATTTCCTGAGATGAAAACACAACATATTAACATCTATCATATATTGATTTCTATCATAAGCTCATAGATTTACATCACACAGAAGTGTGGTTCTGCGTTTTTCATTAAATCCTCAACCACCCACTTGTGTCCAATACCTTGACGTAGATTTGTAAATTATATCAAAATTGGACCAGACATTCCAGTGATTGATATTATGTTCAACTATATAGCCCCATCAGGGTACAATTACATGCGATCCAAGTCACAGAGTCCGACCATGAAATCCATTTAGTACAACCTGCATTGGTTACTTGGAAATTGTTTAAAACAGAGTCTCCAAGGGGTCAGTATGGTCAGATTTAGTTATCACTGGAAACAATGCATTACAAAGTTCCTGCCGCCTCCACTTACCTGACCTCCTCCCTGAACTCCTTGCTGACCTCGTGCCAAGCCTCCCCTTCAAGGATCTGGCTGGAGAGGTCACGCAGCTGCTTCCCCGTCAGGGACGGATCACTGTGACAGTCCCTCATAGTAACACTCTAGGAGACAGAACAAACACTGCACAATGGTAGTCGCGTAATTACATTACAACCAGATCTTAGTTCCCACTATCACTAATCATAGATATGAGAGATCCTATTGGGCAGACACTGTCAAACAGAACCAACATCGATTACATCATGACATACACACCAGGTATTAACTTACTTAATTGTTTATCACAACAAAGTATATCGACCTGCAATGTTGGATCTACTACTCAAGTACAAGGAATGTCTTTAACAATCCATAAACTATCCACTGATTAACTATTAACCTGCTTTCGATTACTTTTACCCTTGTAATCTAATAATTTCTGTTTTCCCAAATACCACCATACACATTTTACCAAAATGAGGACTCACAGCTCCAGGAATTTAAGAGGCCCAATTGTGTTTGGTTTGCTGCTACAATACTTTTATCTCAGGACCCAATAAATCAACCATCATACATCAATGTTACAATCAACCTGCTTAATTTCAACCAGTGTTAAGCTGTCAGTACAAATTATGATAGCGCTGTATAATACAACCGTACCCGGATATGATCCATGACTCTCTTGAAGACCATAGGCTTTTCATTGCCCTCCATGGCGGCTGGGTCAAGGCTGTCTCCCCCGTACACAAACTGCACCACCTCCCCTGTAGACGACCTGACTGTCAGGTCGTACTGCAAGCACAGGTCCTCGAGCGACTGAAACAACAGCAACACTGTAGCAATCACGCTGCACCATCCCAACAAAACCAAATCTATTTTTCCTGTCAGAAAGATTTTATTAAAATCTAAATATTTTAGATATTTAAATACTTACCTTACCATAGGTCTTATGCATATTACCTCAAGCTCCGCTTAAAAGAGATCAGACAGTCGTTGATTCGCCATTCTCTAGAATGGCTGCCTCAACTATCGACGAGTGTACAGGAACGAAGTGACGTGATCTCCCCTCCCGCGCAAGCGCGGTCTATCCAAAAATCACTTTTCATGACCACCCCTTTCGACTTGCCACGAAAAGGCCGAACTCAGAGCATCGAAAGTAGACAGGGAAACCTCAGTATTAGTAAGCTCCACGTGCTCCTTATAAACCTCCGGAATCCGGTCATCAAAGAGGAAGCAAGAGGATCTCAACAGCTTTCTTTTGAACTCTTCCTGCCAAGAGCAAGGCTCAAGGAACTCCACCCGCCGAACAACTGTCATCATGGCCAACGCCATCAGGAGGTGTGCCAATAAATCATGTAACACCTTACCCTGCCATTGAAACAGGGTGGTAAGGTGTTCTGTCCTCGACGTGTTGTCTTCAGTCAAGTCCCAAGCTGCAGCCAAAGTTGCAGAGGCCAACGCCAAAACAGGCTTCAACATCCTCTTGAGCTCTGCATCAATAGCCAACATCTTAGAGTCCTGCACTCAGGAAGAAGACAGTGGAGAACCTGATAAACGTTTGAGGGATTCATCATGAGCCGCGCCACCATCAGCGAAATCCAAGCCATGTATTTTGTAGTCCCCTTTGCGCGACTTAGGAGCCTTAATAGTAGTATTGAGAGACAGTTTAGCAAAGTCGGCATCCAAAGAGGCCACAGCATCGGCCACCAATGGGTGAGGCAGGAGGAGTAACTCGGGAGAATCCGGCAGTCTGTCGGCAATCCAGTCAAACACAGCAGATAAGGGGAGGTAAGTACCCCCCATCATCTTCCTCTAGTAACATCTCCTCGTTATAGTCGGGAGAAAATAGTGCTCCTCAGTGTCTTCCCAGGACACGGTCAGGAGCATTAAACCGTTGGCCAGAAGCAGCAGGCGTCGGGCGCTCAGATGACAGCTGAGAAACAGCACTAAAGGTAACTGTAGGGGAACGTGGCTGTCGCGGCGAGCGGCAAAAAGGAGGCTACCTTGAACTGGACCAACGGTAGCGCCTCCCACGAGTCGGTGACCTTGAACGCCTCTCCCTATCATTGGAACGTCTGGGAGAGCGAAACCTGGAATCAGACTGATGACGGCGATGATTAGTATCAGAACTATGACGAGGACTCCTAGAACGATGGGGCTGTCGAGGAGACCTAGAGTGAGACCGCTTCAAACGACGGGAGCACTCGGCTTCCTGGCGTCGGGAACGCTCTACCAATAACTGACACTGTAAATCCTCCTCTCTAGACATTGTAGACACAGGTGCCTTCTTGGGTATACGGTAGTCTGATAACGGCGTCAGTGTCGGCATCGAGGGAGGCGCTGGTTGATGCAACAATCCAACAACGTCAGAGCTAGGTGCCACGGCTGTCGGCGCTGGAACTGCACTAGGAAACACAGAAGTCGGCGCTGGGACAGCGCTAGGTAACGAGGGTAACGAGGGTGACGAGGGTGTCGGTGCTGGAACGGCGCTAGCTTGGGCTTCAACTGCTGCAGGCAAGAGGAGCGTCCTTAGAAGCTTCTGCACCTCCAGATGAGATAAGGCGTCCGGCTGAGATAAGTCAACAAATGTGTCAGACAGGCGCTGGGCTTCAGGCGTCAGCACACGCGGCACAGGTGTAGATGTCTGTTCTGCTAAAGGAGAGGAGAGTCCATCCGGCGTCCGTGGAAGAGAAGATCGGGACCCCAAAGAAGAAGCAGGTGAAGACATCTTCCTCTTACGTTGCGACAACTGTTTCTTCTCGGCGGTGGTATAAGCCTTAAAATCCGCGACGGACAACGGAGTACAAAAATGACAGCACTCAGCAAGTGAACAGGCAACTGTAGTGCAGTCTGGGCATCAAGGGTGGGGATCCTTGGCAGACTTCTGCACCTTGCAGATGCAGCAAAACTGGCGGGTCATGCACACATAAAAAATACGTAAACACACAGAAAAAAAAAAAAACCTGCAGAGAAAATGGAAACACCCCTGCAGCAAGAATGGGCACGCCCAAGCAGGCGGAACAGTAGAGTAAACAACCAAGATGGCTGCCCTCACTGCGCCGAGAAGAACGTGAAACAAGCACAAATTAGGCAATAATATCAAGATACACAAAACCAAGCATGAACATTATGGTGACAGAGACATAGGAGAATACAATACACCAAACATGCCTAGTGTAGAGACACTCGCGACGTGGGAACACACCCCACACCGAAGTGAGAAACATGAGGCAGCCAGGTAAGCGAAGTTTACTTTAATTATGCTCTTTACCCACACAGAGAAGACTATAGGATTAAAAAGCATACATACCAAAAACAAACAAGAACTTTAATATCTGAAAGTATCAGTAAGTAGCAAACTAGCAAAATCAAAAAACATCTGACACGCAGTATGCGTGAAGTAAAAGTGATTTTTGGATAGATCACTTCACTTCCGTTCCTGTACACTCGTCGATACTTGAGGTAGACATTCTAGAGAATGGCAAATCAACGACTGTCTGATTTCTTTTATGCGGAGCTTGAGGTAATAAGCATAAGACCTATGGTAAGGTAAATTAAAATGTAATTTTCTGAGTAAAATTGATATTTTATACTTATCCTGACTCATGCTTTTTGCTTGTCTTCTTCTTCTTTGCGAACATAGTGGAACATTTGTATCTCCCAATTGAAGTTCCCTTCAATGTAAAATCACTAATTAGTACTCACCCTGAGTTATCTTTCCCCTCGTAAGAGCGGGAACGAGGGCGCCACCTCCCACCATTTGCCTCACTCTCTCCTTTGTAGCGAGCCCAACACTTGAATTTACAGGGAAATCCAAAGTGTTATGTGGGGAGGACGGGAGGGCTTACCTCATGAGTCAGGATAAGTATAAAATATCAATTTTACTAGGAAAATTACATATTTTTCCTTATCCTGACTCATGCTTTTTGCTTGTAGAATCCAACGGCTATGGAGGTGGGATTATATAATACTTTGGATTTGGATAATTAGTGATTAGAATAGTAAAAAACTGTAATAACCCTATGGGAACTTCATAAAGGCACTGAACTGATGAATTCCTGCTGCTAAGTTATCAGCTGCCATATATGGGTTATTACAATATAACTGTTACAATATACATATTATGATAAAGTATATACAACCTAGTACAAAACTTAAGACTCGTAGACTTAAGTAGTTAATGTGATAGCATAAACTCCTTGAGTTTATAGTTAATATACTTTTATGCAGTAACCAAAGTACTAAGCTTAAGATATGTATAAACTTAAGCTATATGAGTATAGTACTGAGCTTAAATTAGAATTTAACTTAAGCTAAATAATAGCAATTAACTCCATAGAGTTTGTTAGCTAATGTATATATAAATGTGACCATATTACTGAGCTTAAGATATGATGAACTTAAGCTAAATATAGTAGCAAAACTTCTAGAGTTGTAAGCTAATATATTATATGATATAATAAACATAGTACTGAGCTTAAGATAATAGATTGAACTTAAGCAAAATATATATAGCATGTAGCTATTTAGTACTGATCTCTGATAAGTATAAATCTGTAAGATTGACTTATCTTCTCCTGGGAACTGTCAACTGTTGAGCGAGGACCAAGGGACCGAAATGGTGGATACCTGAGACGTCCTTAGTGGTAATATCTCTCAGATAGTGGTTGGCAAACACCATATCGGATCTCCAGAAACAGCCCTCCATTATGGTATTCAACGAGCAGTTACCGTGTAGAGCGAGTGTTGATGCTAGTGCTCTAATTTCATGGGGATTAGCCGCTCTTGGAGGGTCGAGTCCTGCAGCCTTGTAGGCACGTAGTATGACAGTTCTGATCCAAATTGAGATAGTGTAGTACGTGAGACTTCCGTCTGCGTAGCTGTAGATAGAGGGATAAATAATCTCTTGAATTTTCCTCTCCTCTGTTTGGATCGGTGGAGATATATTTTCAGTGCTCTTACTGGACATAGTGATAGATCCATCGTATCCTGAGGTCCAAGAATGGATGAGAGAGCTGGGACGTGGAATAATCTGTCTTGTTGACCTGGCAATTGGTTCTTAGCTATAAAATCCCAGCGTAGTCCCAGGTGTGCGATGTTATGAATATCATCAAAGCGTGTTCTCTCGTAATCCAAGGCGTGAATCTCCGACATCCTGGCAGCTGTGGCAAGGGCTAGCAGGAACAAAGTTTTCTGGGTCAGTGATTCAAAAGATGTAGATTCTAACGGTTCATAACCCTCACTAGTGAGGTGTTGGAGCACTATATTTAGATCCCAAGCTGGAGCTTGAAACTTCCGCTTGTGATCCTCCAATCGGAACGCTCGTAGCAAAGCGAGTAACTCTGGGGTCTTTGTTAACTTGACGCCCGTTCTCATAGTTATGACAGAACTTAATGCTGCAAGATAAGTGGACAAAGTTGAGCCTTTTAGATTCTTAGTTTGTCGTAGATAACATAAATAGTCCGCCACTTGAGGATGGGTAGCATATCTGGCTGTAAATCCTTTCTTTGCAGCATAAATGGTGAAACTGTGCCATTTGTCATCGTATAAGTTGCGAGTAGAATGTCGCAGTGCAAGCGTGACAGCTTTTGCCGCTCTGGCTGAATAACCTCTCTTATTCAGGCATGCCTTGATACAATCCAAACGTGAAGTTGGAATACTTCTGGTTTCCCGTGCACTTGTTTGGTGTGTGGATGTATCAATAGATTCGAGCGTTCTGGAAGTTGTAGAATTGGTTGACCGATTTCTTGAATAAGATTTGGAAACCATGTTTTCGCTGGCCAGTAGGGCGCGACCAAAATGAGATTGAGGCTCTGCGTTGGGCTGATTTTCTGTAAGACTTGTGGGATTAACGCTGGAGGTGGGAAAGCGTACGCGTTGAGTCCCTCCCACGATATGCTTAGTGCGTCCGTTGCCCATGCTAGTGGGTCTGGAACTGGTGATACGAATGTTGTCAGTTGTTTGTTGAATCGAGTGGCGAATAGGTCTACTAGTGGAGATCCTATTTCCATGATTATTTGAGTGAATATCTCTGTGTGGAGCATCCATTCTGTCGGCGACGGTAGGTGTGGCCGAGAGAGAGCGTCTGCTAATACATTCTTTGCTCCTGGAATGTGGCAAGCTCTGGCATGTATGTTTAGATTGTCTATTAGCTTGAATAGTTGGAAACAAAGGGACAGTAGGTTCGGTGACCTTGTTGAGCCTTGTTTGTTCACATAAAACGCCACTGTCGAATTGTCTGTGTGAATCATCAACTGAGTGTTCTGTAGTAGGTTGCTCCAGTGATTTATGGCGTTTATGACTGCTTGCATCTCTAGCAGATTTATGTGATATTTGCTCTCTTGTTTGCTCCATAGGCCTGACGCTGTCTTGTAAGCAAGGTGGGCTCCCCAACCTTGTAGTGACGCGTCTACGTACAGATGTGTTTCCGATTCCGGCTCTAATAAGGAGACGCCTACGCAAACATTCAATCTCTTGGTCCACCAGGGTAGATGAGGTTTGAAGTGATCTGGTAGACTGAATGGTAGAGGGTCCTCGAGATGCGCATTGATGAGGACTTGTAACGGACGTAATTGAAGCCTGCCTCTGACTGTCAAGTCTTGGGCTGAAGTGAGTAGTCCCAATAGAATTTGCCACTGTCGTAGTGGTAGCGGAGAGAGTAAGGCTTGTGGGATTAACTGTTGGATCTTGATCCATCTGTCCTCCGGGACTACTATACGATTCTGGGCTGTTAGAAATCGTATCCCTAGAAATTGCAGATCTTGCGTTGGTTCTAGGTCCGACTTGAGTAGATTTACTAACCATCCTAGTTGTGTTAGTAACTTGATTATAAAGTTCAGCTGTAGTCTGAGACCTGTGGATCTGGATCCACTTGTATCCCGTCGTCTAGGTAAAATGCGCTGCGAAGACCTTGACGATGTAGGTATGCGACAATAGGCTTCGTCACTCTTGTGAATAACCAAGGGGCCGATGAGATTCCGAAGGGAAGTACTTTCCATTGGTAGTGTTTCCCGTCTAGGATAAATCTTAGATATTTCCTTGAATTGCGATGAATCGGAATGTGTAGATATGCATCTTGCAGATCTATGCTGGCCATGTAATCTTTGGGACGAATTAAGTGCCGAAGTTGCGGTAAGTGTATCATGCGAAACGCTGGCGGTTTGCTTAGATAGTCTCTGTTGAAGATGCTCATGTTGTATATGAGACGAAACTTTTCCCTGGAATTCTTCTTGGGCACTAGGAAAACTGGGGAGTAGAAACCTGGTACGATGTTTCGCTGATCCAGAACTTCTAAGGCCTGTTTGCTTAGTAGAGTAGCTACTGTTTCTCTTAACATAGGTAGTTGAGCCAGTAGAAAGTCGAACCTTGGAGGGGTGACTGTTAACGGAGGTGTGGCCTTGAGTTGTATTTGATATCCGTGGTGTAGGATGTTGGATACATAAGGATCTTGTAGTAGTCCCCAGTTTTCCCAGTGCAGCTGAAGGCGTCCACCCACTTGGGAAGGTTGTACTGGAACGGCTGGGGGTGGAAGACTCCAGTCGTTCCGAACCTGAATATCATCGTCTAAATCCACGGAAACCTCTGGATGATCTGCCTCTTGTTGATCCTCCTCTGAAATTGCTGTATGGGCGACGAAAAGATTCCCTGGGACCTTTTGCTGTAGCCAATTTCTTGTCACGTGCTTTCTGTAGTCCAGAGAATTTAGACTTGCCAGAGTATCTCAAGGATGATTGTTTAATGACGCTCGCTAACGTATCCATGGACTTGATCATAAGCACCTCTCTAGAGTCCTTAGACACCTCTTTGGAGACCTTGTCTATGTTACCACCAAAGAGTAGGGGCGATGACCATGGGGCAGCGTAGAGTGATTCCGTAAATTGATTATTCCAATTGCAGGAGGCTAGTAGACCCTGCCGACGAGCCATGGTAGTAGCTTCCGTAAGTGCAGACAAGTGATTAGTCAGGAACTGCTGGTCTCTTTTCTGCATGAGTAGAGCCGAGTAGATCATTCTATCTTCCTCCTCTGTAGAATCTTTGAACTTGGTGATGAGAGTTTCATTAACCGTTCTAGATCTATTCAATCCAAAAAACATTCTCCTAGAAATGGTATCCAACTGGGCTAGTTTGCGATCGTCTATTCTGTAATTCCTGGACTTGGAATCACTGATTAACTTGAAGTTGTCATCAATCTCTTGGGCCTTGAAAAAGGAGTCCATATTGTGACCTGCAAATTTCTTGGCGTTGAAATTGGGGAAATGTGTTGATTGAAATTTTGTAGATTTGGTAAAGGCTGTATCCAGATTAGCTGGAACCGTTGCTATCGGGTCAATAGGAGGTAAGGTGATAGTGTCCGCATCATCTTCCTTCATCAAATAAGTATGAGCTGAGTTCTCGTTCTTAGACGGGGAAGCAAGTTCTAATCCATTCACCATCCAATATCTAATTTCTGCATCAGAGAAAATAATACCTTCTTCCTCTTCTGACGTAGGATCACATGTAATAGAGTGAGGTGGAGTCCTAGATCTGTTAGAAGATTGATGAGAAGATTGTGGTGAACGGACTGACGAGTGGCTAGTATAGGGAGACCTTGGAGGAGACTTCCTCGGTGAGCGCTGGTGGCTTCGTGAAGCTCTCGATGAATCCCTTCTAGATCTTCTGGGTGAAGATGCCTTTGAGCCACTTAACCTTCGTGTAGGCGTTCGGGAAGGTATCGAGTCAGAGTCCAAATCATTATATGAGAGCCTGCTTCGTGAACGACCTCTGTGTTCTACAGGGTGTGAGTTCGGTGAAGCACTTCTCCTCCGCGAAGCCCTTCGCAACTGTTGAGGCTCTGGATCTTTCGTGGAGGCGGCCTGGGTTGCTCTTCGTGAGGGCTTCGCTACGGGCTGGGTTGCCCTTCGTGGAGGCGCGTTTGTGGGCTCTAGGGCCCTACGCGAAGCCAAGGCGGGCTCTAGGGCCCTGTATGACTTATTATGGGTTGGGCTCTGGGGCCCGCGGCTCTGGGGCCTCTGTAAACCGTATCGGTCTTCCATCAACTGCATGATTTGGTGAACCAGGTCGTCTGGGACGGTCTGCGCTGATGTAGAGGGTGTCCTCTCTGTGGTAGTAATGGGACCCTCAGTTATGATCTCCGGCGACAGCGTAGGCATCTCTGGTTGCGTGTTGATCTGCGCTGAAGTGACGGTAGCCGATACTGGTCGTTTCCTATGACGTGCATCTGGAATGATTATCGGAATGTCATCATCATATAAACACAATTCTGAAACAGGTAAAATGTCTGAAGCAAAGTTTTAAGTAGTCTTCCCTTTAGACGAAGCTGTAGACCTGGGGGTTTGGAGCGTACGTTGAGACGACGTGGAGGCTCTTCTAGTCTTAGGCTGTGATGATGGAACATCCTGGGAAGCAGGTCGCTTCTTGGATAAAGCGGACTGCGTCCCACGCTTATCCCCTACAGGCGGAACACCAGACGGTAGAGGGTCATCCGCTAACAGTTGACAGGGTATATCTGACTCTGACCTATTAGCCATGACTGAAGCTTGTTTCCGAGATCTATCTGCCTCCCGTCTCAAGACGGAATATAAATAATTATCAAAGGCAGAATTAGACAAATAAATACATAATTTGCAGCGTGAAACAATAGAGCATGGAGTTATGCAGCTAAAGCATATTAAATGCGTATGGCAGCAGTGCGTAATTTAGAAACAATGCAGATTTTTTCATTGAAGTAAACTGCTGAGCAAACACGGCGGACCGTGCATAAAGCAGCAGAAACATGAATAAATATCAATGCATGTTGAATAAGGATACTAGTTACACCTCTATAGATGAATATAAGAGGTAGCAAACTAAATATAAATAAGGATATAGTGTGTAGGGAGACACAGGCGCTCTCACGTCCAGCTCACAGCTCAAGGAGAGAGTGAAGAATGGTGGGAGAGAGTAACTCAGGGTGAGCTAATTAGTGATTTTACATTGAAGGTCAATTGGGAGGTACAAGTGTTCCACTATGTTCGCAAAGAAGAAGAAGACAAGCAGAAAGCATGAGTCAGGAAAGATAACTGTTTAAGAAAAAGGTGAGTCACTAGTTTTAAAGTGATTTTTTCACTATTAAATTAACCAAACACAATCAGGGAACTTGATGCAGGACATGGGAGTCTACACAGTTACAATTAGTAACATGTGGCACACAACAGTCACACATGGAACTAAAACATCAGAAAGACAATCGATCCAATGAAATGTTGTGTAGCACTGAGTTAGCAACTGTTCCTGCTATATGACAGCAGCCTAGACTGAGGTTCATATCCTGACTAAAGTCACTTACCCAGATCCAGTATTGTCACTTTTCAGGATAATCAATACAATGTTGGGGATGACTCTAGCTCTAGTCCACCGAACAGGTCATACAGAACAAGATGTCACACGAGGAACAAGAAGTCACACAAACATCAAAAAGGTCAAACATGGAAGAGAAAGATCACATTCATATGAGCAGGTCCCCCACAGTCCTACCTTGACCAGTCGCCTCTGCATGTAGCCAGTCTCTGCCGTCTTGACCGCAGTGTCCACCAGACCCTCTCGTCCAGCCATGGTGTGGAAGAAAAACTCTGTCGGTGTGAGGCCAGTGTAGAAACTGTTGGACACAAACCCTCTAGCTGCAGGCTCTTTGGCTGAAGCAGAAGCAAGGATACTTATGTACATTCCACCACATGAACACCTGTTCCTTACATAAGATGTTTGTATTTGAGAAGTGGTAGGGTTGAAAGAACAACAGTGAGTGAGTGAGTGAGTCTAGTTTTACGCACTTTTATGATAGGGTTACACTATATTCCCGGTGGCCACGGCAGCCCTGTTTCACCGAAACGGGGACAAAACAGGATGGACGTGAGACAACGTGGGGGACTGAATAAGCAAACGTGACTGTCCGCGATTGCCATGGTATTCCATGAAAACTTGATCAAAATGTCAGAAACATGGACAACCCATCAGAATGCGACAGGCCGGGAGGAAACGTAATGGCATGCGTAGTGGACTGTGGGCTGGACTGTAGTGCGCCTTTGAGCTTCCAGGACTCAGCAGCCCGTTTTTCCCAACGGGCCCATTACGGATGCCATGATAGACTGTGAGAAAACTTAGCAGTACATAACCAAACTTGACTTTGGAGGAAACAAAGGGCCACGATTGAACACATGTGGGGAATCGATACCGGGTCTTTGGTGTGACTACTAGGCTACCTCACCATCCCTTTGAAGAAGAACTGACCATAGCACCATTTAACAAGTGGTGACATGGTGGCCGTGACATTCTCGGGATATGTATAATATGATGTGATGGAACATACTGTCTGGGACGCATGAGTAACTGAGATAAATGTAACCAATGATTCATTTGGATATATTTTACATCATAACAAAATACACACAACCTTAACTCTGACTACATACCTCAGAACATCAATGTGTCAACCAAGTCAGCGAGCCTGACCAACTGATCCTCATCCTCTTACGACAAGCATGGGTTACTGAAGACCAATTCTAACCCGGATCTTCACAGGTACTTAATTTGTGAATCATGTCATTGATAGATCAAATATGTACAACCTTACAGCTGCCAGTGCATACTCACCATGTCTCTCGAAGTGAGGCAGAGCCCTGTCCTCAAATCCGTTGGGCACTCGTTTGCCACTGATGGCTTGCTGGCCGACACAGGCAATCATCTGCGAGATGTTGATAAAGGACCCTGGAACACACAAGCACCACGTTCATCAGTGCCAGCCTGTCAGATGATCCACAGATACCTGAACTATAGCCATACATACACTATGTACACTGCATACACTGAGAAGTAACGCGACCGTACGAACAATACCAAAGATGCATCTTACATTATATGGACAAAGCTCTTCTTACCTTTGGAGCCACAGATGGCCATGGTGAGGGGGCTATTGCTCTTGTGCAGCTCCCGTAAACAGGCCTTCCCAGCATGGTCTCGGATCACAGACAGCTCCTTCAGGATCATGGCCTGAAGCATGGAGGGTTGAATATCACGTCCAGATACTTATAAAGTGACATGCCATCACACACATGACTGTCCTTGCGTTTGTAGCAGTGTCTGCTCATACCAATCTAGATTAACGCCAGTTTCATATTAATGCCAGTCCAATGTAATCCCATACAACAGTTTACCTGTATCCTCACTCCAAGCTGACCAGTCCTCATTTAAATCCCTTCATGCACAGCCCCAGGTAGGGCAACAACATGTACCACCTTTACATTTGGCTTAACAGGTCGAATTACTGAACCACCTATCTCCTGCTCTCCAGGCAGACATTCTATCCACTGCAGCACACATGTAGTGGATAATGACTGCAACTTTCAACCAAATATTCTGAAATGTGTGACCACATCAATGATCAATCAACAACTAACTGCAGTGAATAAAACACTTTCTGCAAATGTCCAGACTGAGGCCAGTACGACAAGGTGTTTCTTCATTTGAATGGTGATAATTAAACAGTAGATAAGCATATTTTAATATTAAGCTTCTCCCATCACAGACAAATCAGAGTGAAAAGTGGAGTATTGTATCAGCCAGAAACAGTTCTTATGATCTAGTGACCGACATTGAACAGTATAGCTGGTGAAATCACAAATTTTGCATCTTAGCTGAAAACAAGAAGACAAAGTCATCAATAACCACTGCAATGGCAAAATACTCAAAAGGCACCAGTACACCACCAGACCAATCTATGTGCCAAGTTTGGCGAAGAAATAGTGAACGGTTTTAGAGTTCTGCTCCAGAAAAGAGTACTACTACCAATATCAGTCTAAGTCAAACTTGTTGCCAAGGAAATGCCAAAAATATTTCACTCAGAAATCCAAAACTACCAAAAGGCACCAGTACACCACCAGAACAATCTACGTGCCAAGTTTGGCGATGATATAGTGAACGGTTTTACAGTTCTGCTACAGAAAAGAGCACAACCACCAATTTCAATCTAAGTCAAACTTGTTGCCATGGAAATGCCAAAAATATTATATTCAGAATACCAAAACTACCAAAAGGCACCAGTACACCACCAGATCTATCCATGTGCCAAGTTTGGTGAAGAAATATTGAAGGTTTTAAAGTTCTGCTCCAGAGAAGACAAATGTGCACAGACACACGGATGCACGGTTGCACAGACGTACGCACGGATGGAGTCCATTTTAATACCCCCTGCAAAACGAGTTGCGGGGGATAACAAATATATGAAAATACTTTCTGTAAAGCCAAATCCAAAAAGTAACCTTAACATTTTTTAAAATCTTTGACAGAAGGTTATTTCATTGTGTGCAAGTATTATCCTGTTATGATAAGAACACAAACCTCAAGCGTTTCCTCCTCTGAGCAGCCTGGCTGTGTCTGGAGCTTGCCATCCTCCAGGTCTCGGATGTAGCTGTCACAGCTACTGTACCTGCAGTCACAGACACAGACTGTCAGACAGACACAGGTGCAGTCAGACAGACAGACACAGGCAGTCACAGACACAGACTGTCAGACAGACAGACACAGGTGCAGTCAGACAGACAGACACAGGCAGTCATAGACACAGGCAATCATGGACACAGTCAGTGAGACAGACAGACACAGGCAGCCACAGACTGTCAGGCAGACAGACACAGGTGCAGTCAGACACAGGCAGTCACAGTCACAGCCACAGACTGGTAGACATTCACAGACATATCAGACAGACAGACAGACAAACAAACAGGTAGTTACAGTAGTAATTGCAGAGTTAGGCAGTCACAATCCCAGATTCATCAGACACACAGACACAGTAAGCTTGCCACTGACAGCATTACCTCTAGTGATACTTCAGCATTACACCTAGTGATACTTCAGCATTACATCTAGTGATACTTCAGCATTGTTCTGGACTGTTTTCAGCTGACAGGTATGTATGAAAACTTACAAATTTCAGTTCAGGTATCAGCTGCATAAGCTTACACTTGAAAGCAGTCATGATGTTTCAACATGTCACAGAGAGCAGTAATAGTTCGAACACCTTGTTAGATGAAGCCATGTATCCTTGAAGATATAGCTAAAATGGAAGTGCATCACACTGCTTTGCAGACCATTGTGACATTTTTGTTTCTGATCACCTTGCAATCAAATAACACCACTACTCACTCTGTCACTGAAGCTGGTTAGCTTTACCTACACAAGACACTGGTTAGTAGTCTACACACTGGAATAATTTGGAATGACAAGAATAACCTAAGAGTCTTTTGACATCAAATCCAATCACATGGGTGAATGAAAGTTCAAACCTCTGAGCCTTGCTGCCAAGGACCACATATTTGACATCAGTAGTCTGCTGGGTTAAACTATCTGTGTATGCTACATCCTTATAACAAAGACAACCCTTACCCATCATCCAGCAATGCGTTCTTGGCCTTGATCAGGCCCAGACCAGGTGTCACATCACCAATGCCGATAGAAAACCCTCGGTTAGCTGCAAGGTGGATAAGAAAACTGACACTATGATAAAGTGGGATTACAAATAAACATGCTAGCAGGGAGCATGCACTATTATGGTGGGAAATATGATGTCAAACAAGGAAAATACACCATCAACTTCTAATGGGCGATGACAAGATTACCCAATTGCAGTCTAAGTAAACTTAGGCACAGTATTATTCGTTACACTGCTATACTGAGTCTAACAATACCTTGTGGAAGGTCGAGTCAGCTGACCTTTTCAATGGACCAATCAGAACACAGCTTACCAAATCGCGAAAGCTGACATTCGCACATACTGTTTGAACTTCTACCTCGAAAAAGTTTTGTACCCGAATAATTCTGAATGCTATTTTCTGTACGATCGCTTCCGAATGATGCACATGGAGCACGTCACAAGAGTGAGTAAACAGTCGCTGAGAATAGCGTTTTGTCAGCATTCAAGGATGTCAGCTTGCGGAAATATTAGGTAATGATAGCCATGTCAACAGAAACCCAAAAGCGTATATTCTGCAGGTCATATATCTGTGTTTTATGCGGGTTTTCATTTGTTATGAGATCAGTGTTGGCGACCGGGGAAGAGAAAATCCATTTTGTAAGTCCCGCCAAACCTTAAATAGTAGCCGTTGTCTGATTGGTTAAATCCGTTCAGCCATCTTGCGTTTGATTGGAAGGTCATAGGTCGCTCAAAGGTTACCAGACGCGACCTTCCACAAGGTTTTGTTAGACTCAGTATAGCAGTGTAACAAAAAATACTGAGCCTAAGTTTACTTAGACTGACGCAATTGGTAATTAAACTGCCCCTTATCACTGAGATGAGATTTTACTGTGAGCTTGAACTATGTACTGAGATATCACTCACAGAGGTATGCCGGACAGAGTCGAGCGAGTCGGGACATGGCATCAGCTGCATACTCTTGTCCGTAGTCTCGCAGAATGATGTAGAAGATATTGTTCTTGGAGCCGGACCCCAGTGTGGCCTTGTCCATGGCTCCACACAGCAGCTCACTGTTCTGGATCACCACCCCTGAACAAACCATTCAGGATCAGCAGAGTCTCGTTGGAGGTTCATACACACCACCATAAGGATGAAACATCACAATGAATCGGTTTCTGTGTTGCATGTTATAACAGAACTACAGTATGTGGCTAGCAACAACATTAAATTGGCTGTGGTGCTTATATCTTTGATATTTGTTTTCTTTTTTCTTTATAAATCAGTTGCTGTACTAAACTATATGACAGCGGTCTGTAGATCAAATCTGGGCCAGAAAATCCAGTGATTGACATCATGAGCATTGACCTTCGTAATTCCGACACAAAGACATGTATGAACCAGTTGGCCATCTTATCTTTAGCCCCATTCTTACCACAAACATGGCTTGCTGAACATCAGTCCGACCAAAAGTCATACTGACTTTAGTTACTACAAATAGATTTTCATGTCAAGCTATGACATCATTCTATTGTTTACATGTCACAGTATTGTTGACATAACGTTATTGGTTTGTAGCGAAAATAAAATTACTTTCCTTGACTAAATGGACATGTTTTGGTTTTTAGAAGCTTATTTTTGGTAATTACATAATAAAACATTTATGGACTGGTCAGTTAGGTCAATATTTCGCAGGTCCATAAAAACAGGTATTGACCTCATCACCAGTCTGAACAAGAACATCAAAAATGGGATACATCACATCTCCTAATATGCATCACTCACATTAAAACTTCATTATTAGTTATTCATCTTGTCGGCAGCAACACGTTCAAGTAAATATTACATGTGTATTTTTGTTCATAAGTATGACAGGGATAGCACAGCTACAATCAGCATTGTCGTCTAATTGTACGTGAACATCAAGGTATACATCAAGGTAAACAAACTCTCAGCCTGAAGCTAGAAAATGGACTCACATGAGTCATTTGTGCACAGGTCCTCATCCTTAGTGTAGTTCTTGCCCTTGGTCCTCAGGTTGGCCTTCACAGGACAAGATCTATTTGGCCGCATCAGCAGACTGAAGATCTGCTTGCCTGTCCACAGCTTGCATGGCTGCAGGGACAAATGCTCAAATCAGTTATCGTAATCAGTTATCGTAATCAGTTACAGAGTTTCAGTGTGTGTTGGTAAACATGCTGGTAAAAAAGGTGGACAAAAATGCTTGATTGCATTGAAGGAAGTTGATGTTTCACTCGCCTTCCAGATTGCAGGAGGAGGTAGATCAATTTTGATTTTCATGTCTTTGGCAGCCAACATGGAGGACACAAGTTGACAGGCACGACTTCGGTCAAAGAAGACATCCTTTTGGGTCACAAGGTAGGCACCTGCACAAAACCACACCATCACTCACATACTGACAGGATATCAACTCAAAAAGAAACCATCATTACAAACACTGACAAATACAGATCGTCAGTACACTTACTCATAAACATTCAGTAGCTTGTCCATTAATTCGAGTTCGAGTATAAGAAGCATATACAAGGGTACTGGGTCCCTCCAAAGTTGTATTTCCCAGAGATCAGTTCTAAAGACAAGTATGACCAGAGTACTAGGGTCAAGCAGAACATAAAAAAAGATAGAATTCTTGCATTGAACTGAAGAAATAAACATTAAGTTGCTACACAAGACAACCCACCTGTGATGAAATCCTGTATAGCAGCAATCAGTGGTTCTCCATTCCGGGGTGTGATAATATTGGATTTAGACTGAAGCAGAAAGGTAAAATAGTGCAGGGCAAAATGCTGGTACTGGCATACAATCTGCGATACGATACATCACAATACTAAAAATGTAATTTTTTGACTAAACTTGATATTTTATACTTATCCTGACTCATGCTAATTATGCTTGTCTCCTTCCTCTTGCAATTGATAGTGGAACACTTGAAATCCCTTGAAGTTCCCTTCTACAAAAGCGGACGTAAAATCACTCACCCACGAGTAGCGTCCCTTTCCTCCCTTTTGGCCATGTGAATGGCCATATTTGTCACTCTCTCCATATGTAAGCCCGACACCCGGATTTACAGGGAAATCCAGAGTGCCATAAGAGGGGAGGTTGGGAGGGCTAACCTCATGAGTCAGGAAAAGTATAAAATATCAATTTTAGTCAGAAAATTACATATTTTTCCTTATCCTGACTTATGCTAATTATGCTTGCAGAATCCGTCGGAAACGGTGGTGGGTCAGCCAACGTTCTGGTTTCAATGGTTGTAGATTTACGTCCTGTATTACCCCCCTTGGGAACTTATGACGGCACTGTTGAAGATTCTGTTCTTTCAACTTCTCTCTGTTGAGTCTGGGGGGACCACAACTTGTCAGATTTCTTCCGAAACTTCTCCTGACATTTTCGTGTGGTTTTTAGATATACTGATATTCCATTAGTTATCTTTTGCAAGTCCATCAGCATCAAGTGGAGATGCGACCCTTCTTCAGGTACAAGTATGTCCTATTCAAGTACAGGGTCTATCACTCATGATAGTCTGTCCTAGACGTGTGCATGGACTTATAGCCATTGCTCTCCAGAGCGTTGGTTTTCACAAGTCACGTGATAAAAGGGGTGAGATTTACTCAGCGTCTTTGTGGAACCGTTAGTTGTCGTGCTACAACAAGTGGCCCAAACTGGTGAATGCCTGAAACGTCTTCGATGGCAATGTCTCTGAGGTAGTGGTTGGTAAACACTGTGTTCGATCTCCAAAAGCAGCCCTCCATTATAGTTGTAATCGAGCAGTTTCCATGCAGAGCAAGTGTTGACGCCAGGGCTCTGACTTCATGTGGATTCGAGGCTCGTGGAGGCTCAAGTCCTGCTGCTTTATAGGCCCTTAGTATAACGGCTCTCATCCAGATTGATATTGTTGTCCGAGAGACTTCCGTGGGCGTCTCGGTGGATAAGGGGATGAATAGGCGCTTGAATTTTCGTCTCCTTGTTTTAGTTCTCTGTAAGTAGACTTTAAGTGCTCTGACTGGGCATAAGGATAGATCCTGCGTATCCTGTGGCCCAAGGACTGTAGATAATGCTGGGACGTGGAAATGTCTGTCAGGCTGACCAAGCAGTTGGTTCTTGGCAAAAAAATCCCATCTCAGTCCAAGATGTACGATGTCACGATGTCTTGATTCAAATCGTGTTCGTTCAAAGTCCAGAGCATGTATTTCTGACATCCTTGCAGCTGTTGCTAGGGCGATCAGGAACAGCGTTTTCTGAGTTAGTAGTTCAAAGGATGTCCGTTCTAGAGGCTCTGGTGAGATGTTGTAGAACTATGTTGAGATCCCAGGCAGGAGCCTTAAATTTTTTTTGTTGGTCTTCCAACTTGAATGAGCGTAGTAGTGCCAGAATCTCTGGTACTTTGGTCAACTTAATACCCGTTTTCATGGTGATAACTGTACTGAGGGCAGCTAAGTAAGTTGAGAGAGTTGAACCTTTTAAGTGTCTCGTCTGTCGTAGATGACATAAGTATTCCGCCACTTGAGGATGTGTTGCTTTCACCGCTGTAAAGCCTTTCCTCTTTGCATATTGTTCAAATCTCTGCCACTTGTCGTCGTACAAGTTGCGTCGGACGATGTAGATATGTGACGATTGGCTTGGTCACTCGAGTAAACAACCAGGGGGCCGACGATATTCCAAACGGTAGAACCTTCCACTGGAAGTGCTGTCCGTTGAAAAGGAATCGTAGGTATTTCCTTGAGTCTGGATGTATCGGGATGTGGAAGTACGCATCTTGCAGATCTATGCTGGCGAGGTAGTCTGCTGGACGAACGAGATGTCGGAGCTGAGGAAGATGTATCATCTTGAATTTTGCTGGTCTGTGTAGATACTCCCGGTTGAACTTCCTCATGTTGTAGACGAGCCGAAATTTCTCCTTGGAATTCTTCTTCAGTACCAGGAAATTTGGTGAGTAAAACCCGGGCGTGATGAGATCTTGATCTATCTCTTCTACTGCCTCTTTGTCGAGTAGGGTCTTGATAGCATCGTCCAGTTTTTCTATTTGGTCGGCTGCATAGTTGAAGGCCATCGGGTTGCTTGTGAGCGGCAGAGTGGCTTCCAACTGTATCTTGTACCCTCTGCGCAGTATCTGGGATACATAGTCGTCCTGTAGTATTCCCCAATTCTCCCAGTACCGTTGAAGACGTCCACCCACTGTCGAAGGTTGTACAGGAACGGCTGGGGGTGGAAGACTCCAGTCGTTCCGAACCTGGTCTTCAGCGTTTGATTCCTCTTGCACCCCAAGGTGCTCGGCCTCTTCCGGGGTTACCTCTAGGAGCTCCGGTTGGGAGACGAAAGGAGCCTTTTCCTCCTTTCATGCTGGAATACTTCTTTTCTCTGGCTCTCTGGACTCCTGCAAACTTAGATTTATTGGAGTAGGGTTGGGACGTCTGACGAATCACGTTAGCCAAGGTGTCAATGGATTTAATCATCATAACCTCCCTTGAGTCGTGAGAGACTTCTCTGGCGACTTCTTCAATTCCTCCTCCGAAGATGTAAGTTGCTGATCATGGGGCTCTGTATAAGGACTTTGTGAAGCGTTCACTCCAAGTGCATGCTGACAATAACCCTTGTCTTCTCAGGAGAGTCAAGCCCGCTGATGTGGATGCTAGGTGCTCCGACATAAACTGATGGTCCCTCTTCTGCATTAGTAGAGCGGAGTATATCATCCGGTCGGATGGAATTCTTGAACTTCGAGATGAGTGTTTCGTTGATAGCCCTCGATCTGGCTAATCCAAGGAAAGTACGTCTGGTGGTTGTATCCAGCTGCGCTAACTTCTTATCCTCAATCTTGTAAGTTCTCTGACGGGAGTTGGTGATAATCTTGTAGTCATCATCAACCTCTGGAGCCTTCAGGAAGGGTTCCATCCTATGTAGAGGGAATTTCCTGGCCTTGAACGTTGGGATGTGCTGATTCTGCGACTTGGTGGCTTTATCAAAAGCTGCGCTAAGGTTGACTGGTACTTGAGAGATCGGGTCGATCGGTGGAATGGTGAGCGTGTCGAAATCATCGTTGGACATCTTGTAGATAAACGCCTCATCTGTGTCCTTAGAAGGTGATGATAAGTCCAAGCCATTGGCGATCCAGGAGTTAACTTCCGAATCGGAGAATACGCCTTCACCTTTATCTTCTGATTTAGACATCTCTCACTCTATGGATGCACAATGCGTTGAGTCTCTATAGGATGATCTGTAAGATGAGTTTCACGCAGGCGATCGATCCCGAGGCGATTCTGAATCCTTCCTGGAGTTTTGAGATAATTCTCTAGGCCTTCGTGAAGGTGGGTTCCTGGACGTAGCTTCCCCTCTGTAGGAGTGCCTTCGCGCAGGCTCTCAATGGGCGTCAAAGTCCGATGGAGATGAAGACTCATATCTGCGACTTCTGTAGGGTTCGGGAGAACACCTTGATCCCTTCCTGCGTGGAGACTTCTTAGCAGCAATCTCTGGAACGTCTACATTGGTAGCGGAGTCCAGACTCCTCACTTCAGAAGGGGCAGATCGTCGTGTTCCGTGAGCCTTCGCGCAGGCTTCCCTCTTCATCCGGATGTGGTGGGGAGACTGTAGAGCCTTCATGCAGGCTAGTAGTCGCTGTAGAGATCTTCATAGCAGCCTTCTCCTGAGCGAAGCCACGTTCCATTATCGACATCATCTGGTCTGTAAACTGTTGCATGAACAGTCCTGGTTTGAAGTTCTGCGTTGTCCGAAGAGACTGCTGCAGGGATGATGCATCTGATACTGAAGAGACGTCATCTAAGGCTCGCTGCACTTGTGAAGAGTTGACGCTGCTGCTTACTCTGGTACCCGATGTCTGCGTTGACAGGAGGTCTTCTGTCAATGTCTGAGCTGATACCAATGCCGATGTAGCTGTAGAAGCAGGCTTCGTCTTCTTACTGACAATGGTGACTTCAGGTATGAGGATCGGTGGATCATCATAAACATCTGCTTCTTCCGGAGGAACAATCTCGGCTGAGAAAGACCTCGTCTTCTGTGTAGAGCTGATCTTAGACTTCGCTGAAGTCTTCATGGTAGTAGCCTTCTTCTTCTGCGAAGATGATGATTTAGCCTTCTTCATCTGCGATGGGGTCAGCTCAGTAGACGATGATCTCTTATGGCCTCCGGTGTTCACCACTGGTACATCGACCTGCTCCCGAGAAACGTTCAGCAATTCACTGGAATTATGAATAGACACTAGGTACCTACAACGAATACACGTTTTCATCAAATGTAAACAAGAAGAAAACACATCAAACAAGGGAAAATTTAGATTAAACCGTAATGTAGAATATAATCCTAAAAACCGTATACAGCAATAATTTTGATGCAAGGTCCAAAAATATAAAAGGATATGTGCCGTATAGGGACCCAGGTGCTCTCACAACCGTAATCAAGGGCGAAGAAGGGGAGAGTGACAATATGGCCGATCATGTGACCATTTGGGCGCCAAAAGGGAGGAAAGGGACGCTACTTGCGGGTGAGTGATTTTACGTCCGCTTTTTTAGAAGGGAACTTCAAGGGATTTCAAGTGTTCCACTATCATTTGCAAGAGGAAGGAGACAAGCATAATTAGCACGAGTCAGGAGAAGGAAATATTTTTAGTTACGGCAATATATATTAGCAAAGTATTGTTCACTGAAGCTACGATACGATTCGAATCCCAATATAAGGGTGGCGATACGTATCACGATACTAAAATCCTTAATTCTAACACCAACTATAAAACACCTTAAGC